GGACAAATGAATAGACTCACTGCTCCCTAACAAACATCAGGACAAATGAATAGACTCACTGCTCCCTAACAAACATCAGGACAAATGAATAGACTCACTGCTCCCTAACAAACATCAGGACAAATGAACAGACTCACTGCTCCCTAACAACCATCAGGACTAATGAACAGTCTCACTGCTCCCTAACAACCATCAGGACAAATGAATAGACTCACTGCTCCCTAACAAACATCAGGACAAATGAATAGACTCACTGCTCCCTAACAAACATCAGGACAAATGAATAGTCTCACTGCTCCCTAACAAACATCAGGACAAATGAATAGACTCACTGCTCCCTAACAAACATCAGGACAAATGAACAGACTCACTGTTCCCTAACAACCATCAGGACATATGAATAGACTCACTGCTCCCTAACAAACATCAGGACAAATGAATAGACTCACTGCTCCCTAACAAACATCAGGACAAATGAATAGACTCACTGCTCCCTAACAAACATCAGGACAAATGAATAGACTCACTGCTCCCTAACAAACATCAGGACAAATGAACAGTCTCACTGCTCCCTAACAACCATCAGGACAAATGAACAGTCTCACTGTTCCCTAACAACCATCAGGACAAATGAACAGTCTCACTGCTCCCTAACAAACATCAGGACAAACGAACAGTCTCACTGCTCCCTAACAAACATCAGGACAAACGAACAGTCTCACTGCTCCCTAACAACCATCAGGACAAATGAACAGTCTCACTGCTCCCTAACAAACATCAGGACAAACGAACAGTCTCACTGCTCCCTAACAACCATCAGGACAAACGAACAGTCTCACAGCTCCCTAACAAACATCAGGACAAATGAACAGACTCACTGCTCCCTAACAACCATCAGGACAAATGAACAGACTCACTGTTCCCTAACAAACATCAGGACAAATGAATAGTCTCACTGTTCCCTAACAAACATCAGGACAAATGAACAGCCTCACTGCTCCCTAACAAACATCAGGACAAATGAACAGACTCACTGTTCCCTAACAAACATCAGGACAAATGAACAGACTCACTGCTCCCTAACAACCATCAGGACAAATGAATAGACTCACTGTTCCCTAACAAACATCAGGACAAATGAACAGACTCACTGTTCCCTAACAAACATCAGGACAAATGAACAGACTCACTGCTCCCTAACAAACGAATAGTCTCACTGCTCCCTAACAAACATCAGGACAAATGAACAGTCTCACTGCTCCCTAACAAACATCAGGACAAATGAATAGACTCACTGCTCCCTAACAACCATCAGGACAAATGAACAGTCTCACTGCTCCCTAACAAACATCAGGACAAATGAACAGTCTCACTGCTCCCTAACAAACAACATCAGGACAAATGAACAGTCTCACTGCTCCCTAACAAACATCAGGACAAATGAACAGTCTCACTGCTCCCTAACAACCATCAGGACAAATGAACAGTCTCACTGCTCCCTAACAAACATCAGGACAAATTAATAGTCTCACTGTTCCCTAACAAACATCAGGACAAATGAATAGTCTCACTGCTCCCTAACAAACATCAGGACAAATCAATAGCCTCACTGTTCCCTAACAAACATCAGGACAAATGAATAGCCTCACTGTTCCCTAACAAACATCAGGACAAATGAATAGTCTCACTGCTCCCTAACAAACATCAGGACAAATGAATAGCCTCACTGTTCCCTAACAAACGAATAGTCTCACTGTTCCCTAATAACCATCAGGACAAATGAATAGTCTCACTGTTCCCTAACAACCATCAGGACAAATGAATAGTCTCACTGCTCCCTAACAAACATCAGGACAAATGAACAGTCTCACTGCTCCCTAACAACCATCAGGACAAATGAATAGACTCACTGCTCCCTAACAACCATCAGGACAAATGAATAGACTCACTGCTCCCTAACAAACATCAGGACAAATGAACAGTCTCACTGCTCCCTAACAAACATCAGGACAAATGAATAGTCTCACTGCTCCCTAACAAACATCAGGACAAATTAATAGACTCACTGTTCCCTAACAAACATCAGGACAAATGAACAGTCTCACTGCTCCCTAACAAACATCAGGACAAATGAATAGTCTCACTGCTCCCTAACAAACATCAGGACAAATTAATAGACTCACTGTTCCCTAACAACCATCAGGACAAATGAATAGTCTCACTGCTCCCTAACAAACATCAGGACAAATGAATAGACTCACTGTTCCCTAACAAACATCAGGACAAATGAATAGTCTCACTGCTCCCTAACAACCATCAGGACAAATGAACAGACTCACTGTTCCCTAACAACCATCAGGACAAATGAACAGACTCACTGTTCCCTAACAAACATCAGGACAAATGAACAGACTCACTGTTCCCTAACAACCATCAGGACAAATGAATAGACTCACTGTTCCCTAACAAACATCAGGACAAATGAACAGACTCACTGCTCCCTAACAAACATCAGGACAAATGAACAGACTCACTGCTCCCTAACAAACATCAGGACAAATGAACAGACTCACTGCTCCCTAACAAACATCAGGACAAATGAACAGACTCACTGCTCCCTAACAACCATCAGGACAAATGAACAGACTCACTGCTCCCTAACAAACATCAGGACAAATGAATAGACTCACTGCTCCCTAACAAACATCAGGACAAATGAATAGACTCACTGTTCCCTAACAACCATCAGGACAAATGAACAGACTCACTGTTCCCTAACAAACATCAGGACAAATGAACAGACTCACTGTTCCCTAACAACCATCAGGACAAATGAATAGACTCACTGTTCCCTAACAAACATCAGGACAAATGAACAGTCTCACTGCTCCCTAACAACCATCAGGACAAATGAACAGACTCACTGCTCCCTAACAAACATCAGGACAAATGAATAGACTCACTGCTCCCTAACAAACATCAGGACAAATGAATAGTCTCACTGCTCCCTAACAAACATCAGGACAAATGAATAGACTCACTGCTCCCTAACAAACATCAGGACAAATGAACAGACTCACTGCTCCCTAACAAACATCAGGACAAATGAATAGACTCACTGCTCCCTAACAACCATCAGGACAAATGAACAGTCTCACTGCTCCCTAACAAACATCAGGACAAATGAATAGACTCACTGTTCCCTAACAAACATCAGGACAAACGAACAGTCTCACTGCTCCCTAACAACCATCAGGACAAATGAACAGTCTCACTGCTCCCTAACAAACATCAGGACAAATGAATAGTCTCACTGCTCCCTAACAAACATCAGGACAAATGAACAGTCTCACTGCTCCCTAACAAACATCAGGACAAATGAACAGTCTCACTGCTCCCTAACAAACATCAGGACAAATGAATAGACTCACTGTTCCCTAACAACCATCAGGACAAATGAACAGACTCACTGTTCCCTAACAAACATCAGGACAAATGAACAGTCTCACTGCTCCCTAACAAACATCAGGACAAATGAATAGACTCACTGCTCCCTAACAACCATCAGGACAAATGAACAGTCTCACTGCTCCCTAACAAACATCAGGACAAATGAACAGTCTCACTGCTCCCTAACAAACAACATCAGGACAAATGAACAGTCTCACTGCTCCCTAACAAACATCAGGACAAATGAACAGTCTCACTGCTCCCTAACAACCATCAGGACAAATGAACAGTCTCACTGCTCCCTAACAAACATCAGGACAAATTAATAGTCTCACTGTTCCCTAACAAACATCAGGACAAATGAATAGTCTCACTGCTCCCTAACAAACATCAGGACAAATCAATAGCCTCACTGCTCCCTAACAAACATCAGGACAAACGAACAGTCTCACTGCTCCCTAACAACCATCAGGACAAACGAACAGTCTCACAGCTCCCTAACAAACATCAGGACAAATGAACAGACTCACTGCTCCCTAACAACCATCAGGACAAATGAACAGACTCACTGTTCCCTAACAAACATCAGGACAAATGAATAGTCTCACTGTTCCCTAACAAACATCAGGACAAATGAACAGCCTCACTGCTCCCTAACAAACATCAGGACAAATGAACAGACTCACTGTTCCCTAACAAACATCAGGACAAATGAACAGACTCACTGCTCCCTAACAACCATCAGGACAAATGAATAGACTCACTGTTCCCTAACAAACATCAGGACAAATGAACAGACTCACTGTTCCCTAACAAACATCAGGACAAATGAACAGACTCACTGCTCCCTAACAAACGAATAGTCTCACTGCTCCCTAACAAACATCAGGACAAATGAACAGTCTCACTGCTCCCTAACAAACATCAGGACAAATGAATAGACTCACTGCTCCCTAACAACCATCAGGACAAATGAACAGTCTCACTGCTCCCTAACAAACATCAGGACAAATGAACAGTCTCACTGCTCCCTAACAAACAACATCAGGACAAATGAACAGTCTCACTGCTCCCTAACAAACATCAGGACAAATGAACAGTCTCACTGCTCCCTAACAACCATCAGGACAAATGAACAGTCTCACTGCTCCCTAACAAACATCAGGACAAATTAATAGTCTCACTGCTCCCTAACAAACATCAGGACAAATGAACAGACTCACTGTTCCCTAACAAACATCAGGACAAATGAACAGACTCACTGCTCCCTAACAACCATCAGGACAAATGAATAGACTCACTGTTCCCTAACAAACATCAGGACAAATGAACAGACTCACTGTTCCCTAACAAACATCAGGACAAATGAACAGACTCACTGCTCCCTAACAAACGAATAGTCTCACTGCTCCCTAACAAACATCAGGACAAATGAACAGTCTCACTGCTCCCTGAAGTCCAGAAGTGGATGAACAACTAGAACTTTTCACTGGAGGTTAACAAGAAGAAGAAGATACTTCTAGAATGTAACTAACAGTACAAATACCAACCTTCCTGATGCAAGCGTTCATCAAGGGCATCCTTATCTGGTTTAATGTCCTCTTCTTGCTGGATGTTCTCTAGAACACTGTTATGTAAGCCCTCCAGATCAGGCTTGATATCAACCAGCTCCCCAAACTCACTGTCACTGGTCAGGTCTATCACTGCCATCACTGTTCCTTCTTTCTGTTTCCGCTTCCCCCGAGATTTTGATGTTGAAGATGATTGGGTATGAGATGCGTTTTCAGCAGCAGCTGCTATCACCTGTAGCAATGATTGCCCTGTTGGCCTGCCCCGTTTGCTGCAAGCTTGTTTGACACGGCCGGATGCCGAGGGACCAACTTGGGAGGGTCCCTCAGCAGAGGCTGACAATGTCTGTTCATCGTTCATGTTAACTTCTCCTGGAGAAGCATTTTCTTTCTGTCCGTTTGTCAATCTTTTGGACTGTGCGGCAGGAGGACGGCTGTCAGCATCTTCACTGTCATCTGAATCAACATCATTTTGAGTAATTGAAAGCAGCTCTCCCATTTCTGTCTTAATACACATTTTCTTTCCATGTTTTCTGTTGGCTGCAGGAGGAGTTTCTTCATGTGATTTTCTTTTGCCTAAAATCCTGGAAATATACAATGTGAATGGAAGTTAGATTTCCCAGAGTGAAATAATGTAACAAAGCTAGCAGAAAATACTGTGATGAAAACTAAGATGCAACAGAAGACAACCATCTTTCTTCCAGACATTGACTTACATGGGTTTAGAAATCATGGACAGACAATTCTGTGATTAAAACTAAGAATCAACAAAAGACAACCATCTTTCTTCCAGACATTGACTTACATGGGTTTAGAAATCATGGACAGATAATTCTGTGAGGAAAACTAAGAATCAACAAAAGACAACCATCTTTCTTCCAGACATTGACTTACATGGGTTTAGAAATCATGGACAGATAATTCTGTGATTAAAACTAAGAATCAACAAAAGACAACCATCTTTCTTCCAGACATTGACTTACATGGGTTTAGAAATCATGGACAGACAATTCTGTGATTAAAACTAAGACACAACAAAAGACAACCATCTTTCTTCCAGACATTGACTTACATGGGTGTAGAAATCATGGACAGACAAGTCTGTGAGAAAAACTAAGACACAACAAAAGACAACCATCTTTCTTCCAGACACTGACTTACATGGGTTTAGAAATCATGGACAGACAATTCTGTGATTAAAACTAAGACACAACAAAAGACAACCATCTTTCTTCCAGACATTGACTTACATGGGTTTAGAAATCATGGACAGACAATTCTGTGATTAAAACTAAGACACAACAAAAGACAATCATCCGTCTTCCAGACATTGACTTACATGGGTTTAGAAATCATGGACAGACAATTCTGTGATTAAAACTAAGACACAACAAAAGACAACCATCTTTCTTCCAGACATTGACTTACATGGGTTTAGAAATCATGGACAGATAATTCTGTGAGAAAAACTAAGACACAACAAAAGACAATCATCCGTCTTCCAGACATTGACTTACATGGGTTTAGAAATCATGGACAGATAATTCTGTGATTAAAACTAAGACACAACAAAAGACAATCATCCGTCTTCCAGACATTGACTTACATGGGTGTAGAAATCATGGACAGACAATTCTGTGATTAAAACTAAGACACAACAAAAGACAATCATCCGTCTTCCAGACATTGACTTACATGGGTGTAGAAATCATGGACAGACAATTCTGTGATTAAAACTAAGACACAACAAAAGACAATCATCCGTCTTCCAGACATTGACTTACATGGGTTTAGAAATCATGGACAGATAATTCTGTGATTAAAACTAAGACACAACAAAAGACAATCATCCGTCTTCCAGACATTGACTTACATGGGTGTAGAAATCATGGACAGACAATTCTGTGATTAAAACTAAGACACAACAAAAGACAATCATCCGTCTTCCAGACATTGACTTACATGGGTTTAGAAATCATGGACAGACAATTCTGTGATTAAAACTAAGACACAACAAAAGACAACCATCTTTCTTCCAGACACTGACTTACATGGGTATAGAAATCATAGACAGACAATTCTGTGATTAAAACTAAGACACAACAGAAGACAACCATCCGTCTTCCAGACATTGACTTACATGGGTTTAGAAATCATAGACAGACAATTCTGTGATTAAAACTAAGACACAACAAAAGACAACCATCTTTCTTCCAGACATTGACTTACATGGGTTTAGAAATCATGGACAGACAATTCTGTGATTAAAACTAAGACACAACAAAAGACAACCATCTTTCTTCCAGACATTGACTTACATGGGTTTAGAAATCATGGACAGACAATTCTGTGATTAAAACTAAGACACAACAAAAGACAACCATCTTTCTTCCAGACATTGACTTACATGGGTTTAGAAATCATGGACAGATAATTCTGTGATTAAAACTAAGACACAACAAAAGACAACCATCTTTCTTCCAGACATTGACTTACATGGGTTTAGAAATCATGGACAGACAATTCTGTGATTAAAACTAAGACACAACAAAAGACAACCATCTTTCTTCCAGACATTGACTTACATGGGTTTAGAAATCATGGACAGACAATTCTGTGATTAAAACTAAGACACAACAAAAGACAACCATCCGTCTTCCAGACATTGACTTACATGGGTGTAGAAATCATGGACAGACAAGTCTGTGATTAAAACTAAGACACAACAAAAGACAACCATCCGTCTTCCAGACATTGACTTACATGGGTGTAGAAATCATGGACAGACAAGTCTGTGAGAAAAACTAAGAATCAACAAAAGACAACCATCTTTCTTCCAGACATTGACTTACATGGGTTTAGAAATCATGGACAGACAATTCTGTGATTAAAACTAAGACACAACAAAAGACAACCATCCGTCTTCCAGACATTGACTTACATGGGTTTAGAAATCATGGACAGACAAGTCTGTGAGAAAAACTAAGACACAACAAAAGACAACCATCTTTCTTCCAGACATTGACTTACATGGGTATAGAAATCATGGACAGATAATTCTGTGATTAAAACTAAGACACAACAAAAGACAACCATCCGTCTTCCAGACATTGACTTACATGGGTTTAGAAATCATGGACAGACAAGTCTGTGAGAAAAACTAAGACACAACAAAAGACAACCATCCGTCTTCCAGACATTGACTTACATGGGTATAGAAATCATGGACAGACAATTCTGTGATTAAAACTAAGACACAACAAAAGACAACCATCCGTCTTCCAGACATTGACTTACATGGGTTTAGAAATCATGGACAGACAAGTCTGTGAGAAAAACTAAGACACAACAAAAGACAACCATCTTTCTTCCAGACATTGACTTACATGGGTATAGAAATCATGGACAGATAATTCTGTGATTAAAACTAAGACACAACAAAAGACAACCATCTTTCTTCCAGACATTGACTTACATGGGTTTAGAAATCATGGACAGACAATTCTGTGATTAAAACTAAGACACAACAAAAGACAACCATATTTCTTCCAGACATTGACTTACATGGGTGTAGAAATCATGGACAGACAAGTCTGTGAGAAAAACTAAGACACAACAAAAGACAACCATCTTTCTTCCAGACATTGACTTACATGGGTATAGAAATCATGGACAGATAATTCTGTGATTAAAACTAAGACACAACAAAAGACAACCATCCGTCTTCCAGACATTGACTTACATGGGTTTAGAAATCATGGACAGACAAGTCTGTGAGAAAAACTAAGACACAACAAAAGACAACCATCCGTCTTCCAGACATTGACTTACATGGGTATAGAAATCATGGACAGACAAGTCTGTGAGAAAAACTAAGACACAACAAAAGACAACCATCTTTCTTCCAGACATTGACTTACATGGGTTTAGAAATCATGGACAGACAATTCTGTGATTAAAACTAAGACACAACAAAAGACAACCATCTTTCTTCCAGACATTGACTTACATGGGTATAGAAATCATGGACAGACAATTCTGTGATTAAAACTAAGACACAACAAAAGACAACCATCTTTCTTCCAGACATTGACTTACATGGGTATAGAAATCATGGACAGACAAGTCTGTGAGAAAAACTAAGACACAACAAAAGACAACCATCTTTCTTCCAGACATTGACTTACATGGGTGTAGAAATCATGGACAGATAATTCTGTGATTAAAACTAAGACACAACAAAAGACAACCATCCGTCTTCCAGACATTGACTTACATGGGTGTAGAAATCATGGACAGACAATTCTGTGATTAAAACTAAGACACAACAAAAGACAACCATCCGTCTTCCAGACATTGACTTACATGGGTGTAGAAATCATGGACAGACAATTCTGTGATTAAAACTAAGACACAACAAAAGACAACCATCCGTCTTCCAGACATTGACTTACATGGGTTTAGAAATCATGGACAGATAATTCTGTGATTAAAACTAAGACACAACAAAAGACAACCATCTTTGTTCCAGACATTGACTTACATGGGTATAGAAATCATGGACAGACAAGTCTGTGACAAAAACTAAGACACAAAAAAAAAAATTATCTTTCCATCAGACACTGACTTACACTGGTGGCGAAGTCACAGAATCAGAACTGAAGGTTCCAATGACCTTGGACATCTCCTCCAGCACATCCTGAAAACAAATGAACATCATCTCAGCTTTACTGTGAATACAGTTCAGTAGGATGACAAACTGAAGTGGTTCCTGGCTGAACACGATTCATAAAATCATTTGATGTTGTCAAAGAGAGGAGAACTGAACAATTAAGATAATCTCTTGATGCTGTCAAAGAGAGGAGAACTGAACACATTAAGATAATCTCTTGATGTTGTCAAAGACAGGAGAACTGAACACATTAAGATAATCTCTTGATGCTGTCAAAGACAGGAGAACTGAACACATTAAGATAATCTCTTGATGCTGTCAAAGAGAGGAGAACTGAACACATTAAGATAATCTCTTGATGCTGTCAAAGACAGGAGAACTGAACACATTAAGATAATCTCTTGATGTTGTCAAAGACAGGAGAACTGAACACATTAAGATAATCTCTTGATGTTGTCAAAGACAGGAGAACTGAACACATTAAGATAATCTCTTGATGCTGTCAAAGAGAGGAGAACTGAACACATTAAAATAATCTCTTGATGTTGTCAAAGACAGGAGAACTGAACACATTAAGATAATCTCTTGATGCTGCCAAAGAGAGGAGAACTGAACACATTAATATAATCTCTTGATGCTGTCAAAGAGAGGAGAACTGAACACATTAAGATAATCTCTTGATGCTGTCAAAGAGAGGAGAACTGAACACATTAAGATAATCTCTTGATGTTGTCAAAGACAGGAGAACTGAACACATTAAGATAATCTCTTGATGCTGTCAAAGAGAGGAGATCTGAACACATTAATATAATCTCTTGATGCTGTCAAAGAGAGGAGAACTGAACACATTAAGATAATCTCTTGATGCTGTCAAAGAGAGGAGAACTGAACACATTAATATAATCTCTTGATGCTGTCAAAGAGAGGAGAACTGAACACATTAATATAATCTCTTGATGCTGTCAAAGAGAGGAGAACTGAACACATTAAGATAATCTCTTGATGTTGTCACAGAAAGGAGAACTGCACACAATAATACAATCTCTTGATACTGTCAAAGAGAGAACTGCACATATTAGTACTATCTCTTGGTGTAGTCGAAGACAGGAGAAATGAACTTAATACAATCCCTTAATGTTGTTAAAGACAAGAGAATTGAACATATTAATAGAATCTCTTAATGTTGTCACAGACAGTAGAAGAGATGACCAACCAAGACTTTCTGCCAGTGTTCACAGCTGATGAACAAAGAAAAATAATAAATGGTTAAGCATAAAAGGAAATGTGGCAATACTGTGACATGTCAACTGTTAATGGTGGCTGGAGATAAACAAGCTGGTTCTCCTCTGTTTACCTATATGTATTTGGTGTGAACTAACCATGGCTGGAGATTTACAAGCTGGTTCTCCTCTGTTTACCTATATGTATTTGGTGTGAACTAACCATGGCTGGAGATATACAAGCTGGTTCTCCTCTGTCTACCTATATGTATTTGGTGTGAACTAACCATGGCTGGAGATTTACAAGCTGGTTCTCCTCTGTCTACCTATATGTATTTGGTGTGAACTAACCATGGCTGGAGATAAACAAGCAGGTTCTCCTCTGTCTACATATATGTATTTGGTGTGAACTAACCGTGGCTGGAGATATACAAGCTGGTTCTCCTCTGTTTACCTATATGTATTTGGTGTGAACTAACCATGGCTGGAGATATACAAGCTGGTTCTCCTCTGTCGACATATATGTATTTGGTGTGAACTAACCATGGCTGGAGATATACAAGCAGGTTCTCCTCTGTCTACATATATGTATTTGGTGTGAACTAACCAACCATGGCTGGAGATTTACAAGCTGGTTCTCCTCTGTCTACCTATATGTATTTGGTGTGAACCAACCATGGCTGGAGATAAACAAGCTGGTTCTCCTGTTTACCTAGATGTATTTGGTGTGAACTAACCATGGCTGGAGATATACAAGCTGGTTCTCCTCTGTTTACCTATACGTATTTGGTGTGAACTAACCATGGCTGGAGATATACAAGCTGGTTCTCCTCTGTCTACTTATATGTATTTGGTGTGAACTAACCATGGCTGGAGATATACAAGCTGGTTCTCCTCTGTCTACATATATGTATTTGGTGTGAACTAACCATGGCTGGAGATATACAAGCTGGTTCTCCTCTGTTTACCTATATGTATTTGGTGTGAACTAAAAATGGCTGGAGATAAACAAGCTGGTTCTCCTCTGTCTACCTATATGTATTTGGTGTGAACTAACCGTGGCTGGTGTGAAGTTGCTTGCAGCCATTTGTATAATTCTTACCCTGTGTATTCTGATGTATGGTGGTATTCATGTGGTACTTAATTAACTTCTTACTGACTCAATGCAAAGACTGGACTGGAAAATCGATTAATCATGTATTTGCAGTTCACAAAAATGACAAGACATCTGAAGGAAAACTCGGAGGAAAATAACAGTTTCAGATTTCTGAATCTGACCTGGTTTTAGCTTTGACTTCAGCTGTTCATACCGTTTTCCCTAGAAAAGTTTTTTATAAACTTGAAACTCTAAAGGGCCATTACCATTTTCAAGGTCCACTACAAACTCTGATGAAGTAGCCTGTCAGACTGCACCCCCAGAGAGAGAGAGAAACACAAAGTGCTGGAGATCAAACACAGGCAACCTATACTCTGAAAACATCACCTGACTGAGTGAGTCACACATTGGAAACCGTAATGCCAACAAAATGCATGTGAATTCACACACACACACACAAAGTTGTGGAATCTACCTTTCTTTTCTTCCCTGGAGTAGACTGCAAAGTTTCTGCCAACTGTAACAGTGAGTTTCTCTGCTCCTCCATGGCTTTCTTCTGCTCCTGCATCTGCAGTATCAAACGTTTTTGCTGCTCTTCTTTGCGACGAGCTTCAGCTAATGCTCGTTGTAATGACATCACAGCTTTATTTTCCTGCAACTGATAAATAAGCAGCTATTATCTCTCGCTTTATCACTATGCACACAATTCATTCTTCCAACACTTGGGCTATTTTATGAGAGCAATAATAATGACAACCATAATCAATTATACACACTCTGCACACATCACCCCCTCCCTCCTTCCTGTGCACAATGTTATCATAGCCTTTCTTCCAGTGTTGTACATACTATCCCATAACCTTCTCTTCCTGTGTTGTACATACAATCCCATAACCTTCTCTTCCTGTGTTGTACATACAATCCCATAACCTTCTCTTCCTGTGTTGCACCTACAGTCCCATAACTTTCTCTTCCTGTTTTGTACATACAATCCAATAACTTTCTCTTCCTATGTTGTACATACAATCCTATAACCTTCTCTCTTCCCGTGTTGTGCATACAATCCCATAACCTTCTCTTCCTGTGTTGCACCTACAGTCCCATAACTTTCTCTTTCTGTGTTGAACCTATAATCCCAAAACTTTCTCTTCCTGTGTCGTACATACAATCCCATAACTGTTTCTTACTGTGTTGTACATACAATCCCATAACTTTATCTTACTGTGTTGTACATACAAGCCAATAACTGTCTTGTACTGTGTTGTACACACAATCCCATAACTTTCTCTTCCTGTGTTGTACATACAATCCCATAACTGTCTCTTACTGTGTTGTACATACAATCCCATAACTTTATCTTACTGTGTTGTACATACAATCCCATAACTTTCTCTTCCTGCGTTGTACATACTATTCCATAACTTTCTCTTCCTGCGTTGTACATACTATTCCATAACTTTCTCTTCCTGTGTTGTACATACTATTCCATAACTTTCTCTTCCTGTGTTGTACATACAATCCAATATCCTTCTTTTCCTATGTTGTACATACAATCCCATAACTTTCTCTTCCTATGTTGTACAAACAATCCCATAACTTTATCTTCTTGTGTTGTACCTACAATCCCATAACCTTCTCTTCCTGTTTTGTACATGCAATCCCATAACCTTCTCTTCCTGTGTTGTATATACAATCCCACAACTGTCTCTTACTGTGTTGTACACACAATCCCATAACCTTATCTTCCTGTGTTGTACATACAATCCCATAACTTTCTCTTCCTGTGTTGTAAATACAATCCAATATCCTTCTTTTCCTGTGTTGTATATACAATCCCACAACTGTCTCTTACTGTGTTGTACATATAATCCCATAACCTTCTCTTCTTGTGTTGTATATACAATCCCACAACTGTGTCTTACTGCGTTGTACACACAATCCCATAACCTTCTCTTCCTGTGTTGTACATACAATCCCATAACTTTCTCTTCCTGTGTTGTACATACAATCCCATAACCTTCTCTTCCTTTGTTGTACATACAATCCCACAACTTTCTCTTCCTGTGTTGTACATACAATCCCATAACTTTATCTTCCTGTGTTGTACATACAATCACATAACTGTCTCTTACTGTGTTGTACATACAATCCCATAACCTTCTCTTCCTGTGTTGTACATACAATCCCATAACCTTCTCTTCCTGTGTTGAACCTACAATCCCATAACTTTCTCTTCCTGTGTTGTGCATACAATCCCATAACTTTCTCTTCCTGTATTGTGCATAAAATCCCATAACTTTCTCTTCCTGTGTTGTGCAAACAATCCCATAACTTTCTCTTTCTGTGTTGTGCATACAATCCCATAACCTTCTCTTCCTGCGTTGTGCATACAATCCCATAACTTTCTCTTTCTGTGTTGTACATACAATCCCATAACCTTCTCTTCCTGTGTTGTGCATACAATCCCACAACTTTCTCTTCCTGTGTTGTGCATACAATTCCATAACCTTCTCTTCCTGTGTTGTGCATACAATCCCATAACTTTCTCTTCCTGTGTTGTACATACAATCCCATAACCTTCTCTTCCTGTATTGTACATACAATCCCATAAATTTCTCTTCGTGTGTTGTGCATACAATCACATAACCTTCTCTTCCTGTGATGTGCATACAATCCCATAACCTTCTCTTCCTGTGTTGTACACACAATCCCATAAGCTTCTCTTCCTGTGTTGTACATACAATCCCACAACTGTCTCTCACTGTGTTGTTCACACAATTGCATAACCTTCTCTTCCTGTGTTGTATATACAATCCCACAACTATCTCTTACTGTGTTGTACACACAATCCCATAACCTTCTCTTCCTGTGTTGTATATACAATCCCACAACTGTTTCTTACTGTGTTGTACACACAATCCCATAATTTTCTCTTCCTGTGTTGTACATACAATCCAATATCCTTCTTTTCCTGTGTTGTAAAATTCCATAGCCTTTTTTTTTGGATTTAATGTGCATAAAGTCACATATCCTTTTCTTCTTGTATTGGGAATACAGTCTCATACCCTTCTCTTTGTGTGTTGGGCATACAATACCATACTTTTATCTTTTTTTTGGGTCACAGTTCATGGGTTACTATCTAGATGATGTGCAAGAAAAATCTAACCGTAAGTATAAACTTAGAATGCTTTATTTAGAGCAGTTTTTAGAAAAAGAACAATCTAAATTGACAATCCCTAGATTTGCATGTCCACAAAGATCCAACTACATGTACACAAGTATGCAGCCAGACTAGAGGACAGGTAGTAAACTAACAATTAATGTAAGCAAATAGTTGGATCAAAATAAAGAATACAATTGTTACTACTGATATACTAGCCATACTTGAGGTGCTATAAAAACAAATCTTTGGAAAAAGAATTTGCTGTCTTCAGAACGAAGGCAGCACAGGTGGAGGAAAAGAAGAAAAAAAACTGATGAAGAAAGCTGACAAATGAATTAACAAGTATGTTTTCAGTAAGTTGATTGTTGCACCTACCAATACTACCACAGATAAGTACCGTCAGAAATAAAAGAGCACCTCGATGAAGCCAGACAGAGTAGCAGCAGGTTTACGCTGAGATGTGTCGGTGTCTGTGGCTTAGGCGTTACAAACGCACTTTGTAATGCCAGGGTGCCGGGTTCGATCCCAGCTGCGGGTTTTGCGCCTTTCGTTGGTTTCGACAGTGGTATCGAGAAGCCGACCGTCCAGAAAGCAATGGCAATCTACTGGACATAAACTTGCCTAGGAAACAAAAAATACTGGGGTTGATTCTGCAATGTCCCGTAAAGGATAGGCAAATAACTTAAGATATGTTCTGTAGCAAGTCTCTAATTTACAGCCGGTGTATATCATGACAGATAAGACTGCTCTGCAATCTGCAAGAAGACTTCCCTCTAAGTAAACCATAACTTACTGGCTTGGCAGCTGCCACCTGCTGTATAGCTCTCAGGGCTGCTTCTTTTTCTTTCAGCTCCCTTTCCTTTTCCATGATCTTTCTCCTCTGCAATAAGTCAGGAAATAGTTTTATACATGAAAGCAGACTGCTGAAATACATCTTTCAAATGAAATACGACATGTCAGTTTACTAAATGCCATGTTCGATTTAGACCTCAGATATCACTATAACATGAGTAGCTGAAATTTTTTAAAATGAAAAAATAACCTTAAGAAAGGAGCTGGCCACTCAACCTGATTATGTTATTAGTTAAAGCATCTCGCTGTTTTTCAAATCCTCAACTTCTGAAGTGAGATGCAGCTGTGCTGAACTACATGTGGTGGTGTTTCAGGACCGAGGATCAAACTGGTCAAGATTTGTTGATACATCTCCATCGTCATCCTAGAAACAGGTCCCCAGTCTGCACACAACTGAGTCACATCTGTAAAACAGCAACTGGGTCACATCTGTAAAACAACAACTAGTCACATCTGTAAAACAGCAACTGGGTCACATCTGTAAAACAACAACTAGTCACATCTGTGAAACAGCAACTGAGTCACATCTGTAAAACAACAACTAGTCACATCTGTGAAACAGCAACTGAGTCACATCTGTAAAACAACAACTGAGTCACATCTGTAAAACAACAACCCTCAAGTCATATCTGTAAAACAACAACTTAGTCACATCTGTAAAACAGCAACCCCCAAGTCCGGGAACAAGGCCAAAACCCAGAAGTGCACAAAACAGCCAGGACTTTCTCCTGCAATTGACAGCCAATGAACATAAAGAAGAAGTCTGTAAGTGCATGGACCCCACCCCTAGTATATTCTCACATGTAGGAGCTGATGCCACAAGTTCTATGTTGGTTTGCTATTCTTTGGCTTTCTACATAGTTCTTGCAGCAGTAATCTTGTGAACACTAGCATCACTTTTATAAGGTAGGGTACACTCATGTCAGCCAACTAGCTACAATATGGTACAGACACCAGAGATCTAAAACTAAGAATGAACTCTGCAAGTGAAGCTGGACATTTGGAACATGCACATACCAAATCAGTCACTCAAATCTAGAGACATGGGTTCTCAACCCAGACATGGGTATATTTTTGAGAATCAAGAGAAAAAAGTGCCAGCAATTTTTTTAAAGGTGCCAATAGACATACACAGTTAAAGTACGAGGTATCCACATCAGTCTAAAACAAGATCACCTGTGAATATCTCCTCACTACCGGAGTTCAGCAGCTGCTGCAGTAGTGCATGCTATCAGAAAGAAAAAAATTATGACATCAATTTTCAAACAAATTCTACAGCTAGCTACACTACTTACTTTAGCTTCCTCCTCTTTCTCTTTCTCCATCTGCTGCAACCTCTTCCTCTCCTCTCTGTGAAACAGACATGACAATACTTATTATGGTCATCAACAAGTGACATAGAATCTTTCAAGTTTGCTGAGATGCTAGACACTAATCATAAACAAACCACTGTCCTAAAATAGTATAACAACCCATAAGGTGGAGAACTGAAATATAAACAATGTCAGAATAGCAGAGACACAATACAACACAGTCATGCCTGAGACACACAGTACAACACAGTCATGCCTGAGACACACAGTACAAGTCACGTCTGACAGACACAGTACAACACAGTCATGCCTGAGAGACACAGTACAAGTCACGTCTGACAGACACTGTACAACACAATCATGTCTGAGACACACAGTGCAAGTCATGTCTGACAGACACAGTACAACACAATCATGTCTGAGAGACACAGTACAAAACAATCATGTCTGAGACACACAGTACAAGTCACGTCTGACAGACACTGTACAACACAATCATGTCTGAGAGACAGTACCACACAATCATGTCTGAAAGACACAGTACAACACAGTCATGCCTGGGACACACAGTACAAGTCATGTCTGACAGACACAGTACCACACAATCATGTCTGAGAGACACAATACAACACAGTCATGTATGAGACACACAGTACAAGTCACGTCTGACAGACACAGTACAACACAGTCATGTCTGAGACACACAGTACAAGTCACGTCTGACAGACACAATACAACACAATCATGTCTGAAATACACAATACAACACAGTCATGTCTGAGACACACAGTACAAGTCGCGTCTGACAGACACAGTACAACACAGTCATGTCTGAGAGACACAGTAAAAGTCACGTCTGACAGACACAGTACAACATAATCATGTTTGAGACACACAGTACAAGTCACGTCTGACAGACACAGTACAACACAATCATGTCTGAGACACACAGTACAACACAGTCATGTCTGAGACACACAGTAAAAGTCACGTCTGACAGACACTGTACCACACAATCATATCTGAGAGACACAGTACAACACAGTCATGTCTGAGACACACAGTACAAGTCACGTCTGAGAGACACAGTACAAGTCACGTCTGACAGACACTGTACCACACAATCATATCTGAGAGACACAGTCATGTCTGAGACACACAGTACAAGTCATGTCTGACAGACACTGTACCACACAATCATATCTGAGAGACACAGTACAACACAGTCATGTCTGAGAGACACAGTACAAGTCACGTCTGACAGACACAGTACAACACAATCATGTCTGAGACACACAGTACAATTCATGTCTGACAGACACTGTACCACACAATCATATCTGAGAGACACAGTACAACTCAGTCATGTCTGAGAGACACAGTACAAGTCACGTCTGACAGACACTGTACAACACAATCATGTCTGAGACACACAGTACAAGTCATGTCTGACAGACACAGTACAACACAATCATGTCTGAGAGACACAGTACAACACAATCATGTCTGAGACACATAGTACAAGTCATGTCTGACAGACACAGTACAACACAATCATGTCTGAGAGACACAGTACAACACAATCACATCTGAGACACACAGTACAAGTCACGTCTGACAGACACTGTACCACACAATCATATCTGAGAGACACAGTCATGTCTGAGACACACAGTACAAGTCATGTCTGACAGACACTGTACCACACAATCATATCTGAGAGACACAGTACAACACAGTCATGTCTGAGAGACACAGTACAAGTCACGTCTGACAGACACAGTACAACACAATCATGTCTGAGACACACAGTACAAGTCATGTCTGACAGACACTGTACCACACAATCATATCTGAGAGACACAGTACAACTCAGTCATGTCTGAGAGACACAGTACAAGTCACGTCTGACAGACACTGTACAACACAATCATGTCTGAGACACACAGTACAAGTCATGTCTGACAGACACAGTACAACACAATCATGTCTGAGAGACACAGTACAACACAATCATGTCTGAGACACACAGTACAAGTCACGTCTGACAGACACTGTACAACACAATCATGTCTGAGAGACAGTACCACACAATCATGTCTGAGAGACACAGTACCACACAATCATGTCTGAGAGACACAGTACCACACAATCATGTCTGAGAGACACAGTACCACACAATCATGTCTGAGAGACACAGTACAACACAGTTATGTCTGAGAGACACAGTACAACACAATCATGTCTGAGAGACACAGTACCACACAATCATGTCTGAGAGACACAGTACCACACAATCATGTCTGAGAGACACAGTACCACACAATCATGTCTGAGAGACACAGTACCACACAATCATGTCTGAGAGACACAGTACCACACAATGATGTCTGAGAGACACAGTACCACACAATGATGTCTGAGAGACACAGTACAACACAATCATGTCTGAGAGACACAGTACCACACAATCATGTCTGAGAGACACAGTACAACACAGTTATGCCTGAGACACACAGTACAAGTCACGTCTGACAGACACAGTACCACACAATCATGTCTGAGAGACACAATACAACACAGTCATGTATGAGACACACAGTACAAGTCACGTCTGACAGACACAGTACAACAGTCATGTCTGAGACACACAGCACAAGTCACGTCTGACAGACACAATACAACACAATCATGTCTGAAATACACAATACAACACAGTCATGTCTGAGACACACAGTACAAGTCGCGTCTAACAGACACAGTACAACACAGTCATGTCTGAGAGACACAGTACAAGTCACGTCTGACAGACACAGTACAACATAATCATGTCTGAGACACACAGTACAAGTCACGTCTGACAGACACAGTACAACACAATCATGTCTGAGACACACAGTACAACACAGTCATGTCTGAGATACACAGTACAAGTCACGTCTGACAGACACTGTACCACACAATCATGTCTGAGAGACACAGTGCAACACAGTCATGTCTGAGACACACAGTACAAGTCACGTCTGACAGACACTGTACCACACAATCATATCTGAGACACACAGTACAACACAGTCATGTCTGAGACACACAGTACAAGTCACGTCTGACAGACACTGTACCACACAATCATATCTGAGAGACACAGTCATGTCTGAGACACACAGTACAAGTCATGTCTGACAGACACTGTACCACACAATCATATCTGAGAGACACAGTACAACACAGTCATGTCTGAGACACACAGTACAAGTCACGTCTGACAGACACTGTACCACACAATCATGTCTGAGAGACACAGTGCAACACAGTCATGTCTGAGACACACAGTACAAGTCACGTCTGACAGACACTGTACCACACAATCATATCTGAGACACACAGTACAACACAGTCATGTCTGAGACACACAGTACAAGTCACGTCTGACAGACACTGTACCACACAATCATATCTGAGAGACACAGTCATGTCTGAGACACACAGTACAAGTCACGTCTGACAGACACAATACAACACAATCATGTCTGAAATACACAATACAACACAGTCATGTCTGAGACACACAGTACAAGTCGCGTCTAACAGACACAGTACAACACAGTCATGTCTGAGAGACACAGTACAAGTCACGTCTGACAGACACAGTACAACATAATCATGTCTGAGACACACAGTACAAGTCACGTCTGACAGACACAGTACAACACAATCATGTCTGAGACACACAGTACAACACAGTCATGTCTGAGACACACAGTACAAGTCACGTCTGACAGACACTGTACCACACAATCATGTCTGAGAGACACAGTGCAACACAGTCATGTCTGAGACACACAGTACAAGTCACGTCTGACAGACACTGTACCACACAATCATATCTGAGACACACAGTACAACACAGTCATGTCTGAGACACACAGTAAAAGTCACGTCTGACAGACACTGTACCACACAATCATATCTGAGAGACACAGTCATGTCCGACACACACAGTACAAGTCATGTCTGACAGACACTGTACCACACAATCATATCTGAGAGACACAGTACAACACAGTCATGTCTGAGACACACAGTACAAGTCACGTCTGACAGACACTGTACCACACAATCATGTCTGAGAGACACAGTGCAACACAGTCATGTCTGAGACACACAGTACAAGTCACGTCTGACAGACACTGTACTACACAATCATATCTGAGACACACAGTACAACACAGTCATGTCTGAGACACACAGTACAAGTCACGTCTGACAGACACTGTACCACACAATCATATCTGAGAGACACAGTACAACACAGTCATGTCTGAGAGACACAGTACAAGTCACGTCTGACAGACACAGTACAACACAATCATGTCTGAGACACACAGTACAAGTCATGTCTGACAGACACTGTACCACACAATCATATCTGAGAGACACAGTACAACTCAGTCATGTCTGAGAGACACAGTACAAGTCACGTCTGACAGACACTGTACAACACAATCATGTCTGAGACACACAGTACAAGTCATGTCTGACAGACACAGTACAACACAATCATGTCTGAGAGACACAGTACAACACAATCATGTCTGAGACACACAGTACAAGTCATGTCTGACAGACACAGTACAACACAATCATGTCTGAGAGACACAGTACAACACAATCACGTCTGAGACACACAGTACAAGTCACGTCTGACAGACACTGTACCACACAATCATATCTGAGAGACACAGATGTCTGAGACACACAGTACAAGTCATGTCTGACAGACACTGTACCACACAATCATATCTGAGAGACACAGTACAACACAGTCATGTCTGAGAGACACAGTACAAGTCACGTCTGACAGACACAGTACAACACAATCATGTCTGAGACACACAGTACAAGTCATGTCTGACAGACACTGTACCACACAATCATATCTGAGAGACACAGTACAACTCAGTCATGTCTGAGAGACACAGTACAAGTCACGTCTGACAGACACTGTACAACACAATCATGTCTGAGACACACAGTACAAGTCATGTCTGACAGACACAGTACAACACAATCATGTCTGAGAGACACAGTACAACACAATCATGTCTGAGACACACAGTACAAGTCACGTCTGACAGACACTGTACAACACAATCATGTCTGAGAGACAGTACCACACAATCATGTCTGAGAGACACAGTACCACACAATCATGTCTGAGAGACACAGTACCACACAATCATGTCTGAGAGACACAGTACCACACAATCATGTCTGAGAGACACAGTACAACACAATCATGTCTGAGAGACACAGTACCACACAATCATGTCTGAGAGACACAGTACCACACAATGATGTCTGAGAGACACAGTACAACACAATCATGTCTGAGAGACACAGTACCACACAATCATGTCTGAGAGACACAGTACAACACAGTTATGCCTGAGACACACAGTACAAGTCACGTCTGACAGACACAGTACCACACAATCATGTCTGAGAGACACAATACAACACAGTCATGTATGAGACACACAGTACAAGTCACGTCTGACAGACACAGTACAACAGTCATGTCTGAGACACACAGTACAAGTCACGTCTGACAGACACAATACAACACAATCATGTCTGAAATACACAATACAACACAGTCATGTCTGAGACACACAGTACAAGTCGCGTCTAACAGACACAGTACAACACAGTCATGTCTGAGAGACACAGTACAAGTCATGTCTGACAGACACAGTACAACATAATCATGTCTGAGACACACAGTACAAGTCACGTCTGACAGACACAGTACAACACAATCATGTCTGAGACACACAGTACAACACAGTCATGTCTGAGACACACAGTACAAGTCACGTCTGACAGACACTGTACCACACAATCATGTCTGAGAGACACAGTGAAACACAGTCATGTCTGAGACACACAGTACAAGTCACGTCTGACAGACACTGTACCCCACAATCATATCTGAGACACACAGTACAACACAGTCATGTCTGAGACACACAGTACAAGTCACGTCTGACAGACACTGTACCACACAATCATATCTGAGAGACACAGTCATGTCTGAGACACACAGTACAAGTCATGTCTGACAGACACTGTACCACACAATCATATCTGAGAGACACAGTACAACACAGTCATGTCTGAGACACACAGTACAAGTCACGTCTGATAGACACAGTACAATACAATCATGTCTGAGAGACACAGTACAACACAGTCATGACTGAGACACACGGTACAAGTCACGTCTGACAGACACAGTACAACACAGTCATGACTGAGACACACAGTACAAGTCACGTCTGACAGACACAGTACAACACAGTCATGCCTGAGACACACAGTACAAGTCACATCTGACAGACACAGTACAACACAGTCATGCCTGAGACACACAGTACAAGTCACATCTGACAGACACTGTACAACACAATCAGGTCCAACAGTTTTTCTGTTTGTTTTGTTTGATGATTTCATAATATTTCTAAAAGCTGTCTGAAATGGAGGAATTAAGACAGAGCTAGCTACTTGAAAAGCAGCTGCTGGGTGATGGTCTTGAAACAAAAGGGTTAAAAGGTGAAATAATTGGTCTAATCACATTCCTAAATTCTCTGCCATATGGCCAAACAGGTTTGATATAACATTTCGGTGCCCTCTTTCTGACAATCAATGACAGTTATTAAGTGCATAAGATATTTTATCATCTTGTGAAACCCAACGCTTGCTCGATTTTTCTGCAATTAATCTTAGCGATGGTCCTCATTTGAATGATATATTAATCATTCTCGCTTTGGTGTGTGATAAGACAATCAAAGTTGTGACGTTTTCTTTCTCTTTTAGACTCTCATTACTTACTGCTTTTTCTTGAATGTTTTCTCATATGTAGGCCTGACAGCCAAATCTTCATCCTCTGGTTCCTCAGGTATATCACAGCGACTGAAAGACAAGAACATTATCAAGTTATTTTCCTTTACTGACAACTGGTCTCACAGGATAAAATTGTAAATATCAAAATGTATTTAATAATGAACCTGACAGACTAGGATTAATTAATAAGTATGCCAACATCACCAGAATAGGTTGGCACTCATTCACTGGTCCTTAGAGGTTCACAACCCATCACTGGAAAACAACACCTTGTTTTGAAAACAAGACCAAGTGAAATCACTGCACTGGTAGGAGAGAAGTGAAACTAGCCAGGCAACTGGCTAAATGATGGCCATGGACAAAGCCAAAAGGAGGGTCAACAGCCAGACTGCAAATCTACTTTCTTCAGAAACTCTTTCAGTGTTTGATGTTGGAATGTTAGAACACTGTACCAAGTTGGAGAGGAAGATGACTTGAACATGTTAGCAGAATACCTTGCGACACTTTGGCAAAGACAGCTAGCTCTATGATTAACAGCAGATGAAAAAATGAGACATGGACGACTTAAGAAAATATGAAAAAGGGTAGAAAGAGAAATGAAGGAATAAAAAAATTACATGGGATACTAAAGGCAGAAAAGCAGCAATGGAGATCAGTAGTGAATGTCTGGTGTGTCAGCAGCCACAAGAAAAATAAATAATCCTACTAACATAAGTCATAAAAAACATTAGAAGAATATCACTATTATCTACATATATACAGGCTATAATATACTATCGGCGGTACTGCCAAACAGACTAAAACCATACGTTGAAGACATACTGGAAGATTACCAAGCGGGTTTCTGACAGAACAGATCAACAATGGATCAGATATTCATTTTACGGTCAATAGCAGAGCAAAACTGTGAATATGGAAGAGAGATACATAATGTTTTTGTGTATTTTAAAAGGGCATTTGATAGTATACATAGAAACAGTTTATGGAATGCTACGAATGACTTTGGAGTACCAAAGAAGTTAATGACCATGACCAAACTATGTATGGAAGACACTTATAATATAGTAACATATAAAGGCAGAAAGTCAGACACTTTTCAAATAACATCTGGTTTTAAAGCAAGTGATGCTCTGTCCCCACTTCTGTTCAACTTGGTCCTGAAGAAAATTATAAGGAAATTGAAACAAGAGTGTACTATAAGAGAATCTACATGAATACTTGGATTTGCTGATGACATTAATATTGTTGGAGAAAATGAACTAGAGACTTTAAAAACATCGACTCTCTTAAAAGAAGCAGCTCACAAAATGGGACTAGTTATCAATCAAGATAAAACAGAATACATGATGATAACAAGACAAGGAAAGGATATAAACTCCGGCCACATGCAAGTCTATAATGTGAAAATCAAACGAACGGAAACATATAAGTACTTGGGTGCAAACTTTAACTGCTCCTACATGCTGAGAGAAGAAATACAATCTAGAATACAATCTGGAAATAAAGTATATTTGGCAACTAACAAACTCAGAAATTTAACATTTTTATTAAAATAGATTTTTTATGGCTTTGAAACTTGGAGCACAACTAGAAGAGATGAAGCCTTATTACAGGAGTATTACAACGAATCTTTGGACCTATCAAAGATGTAAATAGCGGGGAATGGAGAGTGAGAAGCAACAACGAAAATCGTGATTTGTTTAGATCAACACTGATCATTGGCATTATGAGAGCTAATAGACTGTAATGGTTAGGGCATATTGAGAGAATGTCAGATGACAGAGAGGTAAAAACTATACCCAAGGGGGATGAATGGTCGTAGACAACGAGGCAGACCAAGATGGCGTTGGAGAGATAATGTCCAGAGAGATCTGCAAACACTTGGTGTTACCAACTGGAAAGAAGACCAACCAGACAGATGAGTGGAGGTGGGTTATATCTGCAGCAATGAACCTCAAGGGCTCAGAATGCCGAAGAAGAAGAACATAAGTAATGTCTTTTTTACATATTGTGTCCCTTGCTCATATTCTCAATTTATTATTATGTACTTAATATGTTTGTGTCTCTTGTTCTGAGTTTCAATTCTCTAACATATATTAATCAGACAACTGATCTAACTTAGCAAAGATAAAGGAATCCCTAGAAAAGACTGCTATAAGCCTGTACTTATCCAAACAAGAGAATACAAAACATCTACTTACTTGTGTGTAGCATCTGGGTTCATCCTGCAGTACCATGACTCTGGCAACGAATCACTATCAATATTATCTGGCAGCCGTCGCCACTTGAGGCAATGGTCGCACTGAGCCCACAACCAATCAGGATGATTCCTGTCAAACGTAGGGAAACATCTCAGTGAAATGACATCAAACCATGCTACTCTCTCATTTAATCTATCTGCATGCCCCAAAGCAGCAAGAACAATGTCATCGTCAATGACAAGTCCAGTAAATGCACACCCACAGATTTCCCAAACATACATGCCAGGAGCTTGGTGTGTTTGCTGACCAGGTCACAATTAAGAATAATAACTAGAGCCTACAATCAGTGTCAAAAGACCATTCTTCAATGAAACACGTTGCAGTGTAAGAACAGAATCTGTCAACTCTGATTGATTCCCAGTGGAACCAAGAGCTGTGTCCTATCACAAATGCTCTTTGGAACAGCAGTCAATTGGGTCATGCACAAATATGGGTATCAAATGGGTTGACACAATTTTAGAAGACCTTGACTTTGCTGACGACACAGTGCTTTTGAGCTCAACACACCCAGATATTTGAGAGAAAACAAACAATGTTTTTGAGCTCAACACACCCAGATGTTTGAGAGAAAACAAACAATGTTTTTGAGCTCAACACACCCAGATATTTGAGAGAAAACAAACAATGTTTTTGAGCTCAACACACCCAGATATTTGAGAGAAAACAAACAATGTTTTTGAGCTCAACACACCCAGATGTTTGAGAGAAAACAAACAATGTTTTTGAGCTCAACACACCCAGATGTTTGAGAGAAAAACAAACAATGTTTTTGAGCTCAACACACCCAGATATTTGAGAGAAAACAAACAATGTTTTTGAGCTCAACACACCCAGATATTTGAGAGAAAACAAACAATGTTTTTGAGCTCAACACACCCAGATATTTGAGAGAAAACAAACAATGTTTTTGAGCTCAACACACCCAGATGTTTGAGAGAAAACAAACAATGTTTTTGAGCTCAACACACCCAGATGTTTGAGAGAAAACAAACAATGTTTTTGAGCTCAACACACCCAGATGTTTGAGAGAAAACAAACAGTGCTATTGAGCTCAACACACCCAGATGTTTGAGAGAAAACAAACAATGTTTTTGAGCTCAACACACCCAGATGTTTGAGAGAAAACAAACAATGTTTTTGAGCTCAACACACCCAGATGTTTGAGAGAAAACAAACAATGTTTTTGAGCTCAACACACCCAGATGTTTGAGAGAAAACAAACAGTGCTATTGAGCTCAACACACCCCCAGATGTTTGAGAGAAAACAAACAATGTTTTTTGAGCTCAACACACCCAGATGTTTTGAGAGAAAACAAACAATGTTTTTGAGCTCAACACACCCAGATGTTTGAGAGAAAACAAACAATGTTTTTGAGCTCAACACACCCAGATGTTTGAGAGAAAACAAACAATGTTTTTGAGCTCAACACACCCAGATATTTGAGAGAAAACAAACAATGTTTTTGAGCTCAACACACCCAGATATTTGAGAGAAAACAAACAATGTTTTTGAGCTCAACACACCCAGATGTTTGAGAGAAAACAAACAGTGTTTTTGAGCTCAACACACCCAGATATTTGAGAGAAAACAAACAGTGTTTTTGAGCTCAACACACCCAGATATTTGAGAGAAAAAACAAACAATGTTTTTTGAGCTCAACACACCCAGATATTTGAGAGAAAACAAACAATGTTTTTGAGCTCAACACACCCAGATATTTGAGAGAAAACAACAATGTTTTTGAGCTCAACACACCCAGATATTTGAGAGAAAACAAACAATGTTTTTGAGCTCAACACACCCAGATGTTTGAGAGAAAACAAACAATGTTTTTGAGCTCAACACACCCAGATATTTGAGAGAAAACAAACAATGTTTTTGAGCTCAACACACCCAGATGTTTGAGAGAAAACAAACAATGTTTTGAGCTCAACACACCCAGATGTTTGAGAGAAAACAAACAATGTTTTTGAGCTCAACACACCCAGATATTTGAGAGAAAAACAAACAATGTTTTTGAGCTCAACACACCCAGATGTTTGAGAGAAAACAAACAATGTTTTTGAGCTCAACACACCCAGATATTTGAGAGAAAACAAACAATGTTTTTGAGCTCAACACACCCAGATATTTGAGAGAAAACAAACAGTGCTATTGAGCTCAACACACCCAGATGTTTGAGAGAAAACAAACAGTGCTATTGAGCTCAACACACCCAGATATTTGAGAGAAAACAAACAATGTTTTTGAGCTCAACACACCCAGATATTTGAGAGAAAACAAACAATGTTTTTGAGCTCAACACACCCAGATATTTGAGAGAAAACAAACAATGTTTTTGAGCTCAACACACCCAGATGTTTGAGAGAAAACAAACAATGTTTTTGAGCTCAACACACCCAGATATTTGAGAGAAAACAAACAATGTTTTTGAGCTCAACACACCCAGATGTTTGAGAGAAAACAAACAGTGTTTTTGAGCTCAACACACCCAGATATTTGAGAGAAAACAATGTTTTTGAGCTCAACACACCCAGATATTTGAGAGAAAACAAACAATGTTTTTGAGCTCAACACACCCAGATGTTTGAGAGAAAACAAACAATGTTTTTGAGCTCAACACACCCAGATGTTTGAGAGAAAACAAACAATGTTTTTGAGCTCAACACACCCAGATATTTGAGAGAAAACAAACAATGTTTTTGAGCTCAACACACCCAGATATTTGAGAGAAAACAAACAATGTTTTTGAGCTCAACACACCCAGATGTTTGAGAGAAAACAAACAATGTTTTTGAGCTCAACACACCCAGATATTTGAGAGAAAACAAACAATGTTTTTGAGCTCAACACACCCAGATGTTTGAGAGAAAACAAACAATGTTTTTGAGCTCAACACACCCAGATGTTTGAGAGAAAACAAACAATGTTTTTGAGCTCAACACACCCAGATATTTGAGAGAAAACAAACAATGTTTTTGAGCTCAAAACACCCAGATATTTGAGAGAAAACAAACAATGTTTTTGAGCTCAAAACACCCAGATATTTGAGAGAAAACAAACAATGTTTTTGAGCTCAACACACCCAGATGTTTGAGAGAAAACAAACAATGTTTTTGAGCTCAACACACCCAGATGTTTGAGAGAAAACAAACAATGTTTTTGAGCTCAACACACCCAGATATTTGAGAGAAAACAAACAGTGCTATTGAGCTCAACACACCCAGATGTTTGAGAGAAAACAAACAATGTTTTTGAGCTCAACACACCCAGATATTTGAGAGAAAACAAACAATGTTTTTGAGCTCAACACACCCAGATATTTGAGAGAAAACAAACAATGTTTTTGAGCTCAACACACCCAGATGTTTGAGAGAAAACAAACAGTGTTTTTGAGCTCAACACACCCAGATGTTTGAGAGAAAACAAACAATGTTTTTGAGCTCAACACACCCAGATGTTTGAGAGAAAACAAACAATGTTTTTGAGCTCAACACACCCAGATGTTTGAGAGAAAACAAACAATGTTTTTGAGCTCAACACACCCAGATGTTTGAGAGAAAAACAAACAATGTTTTTGAGCTCAACACACCCAGATGTTTGAGAGAAAACAAACAATGTTTTTGAGCTCAACACACCAGATGTTTGAGAGAAAACAAACAATGTTTTTGAGCTCAACACACCCAGATATTTGAGAGAAAACAAACAATGTTTTTGAGCTCAACACACCCAGATGTTTGAGAGAAAACAAACAATGTTTTTGAGCTCAACACACCCAGATGTTTGAGAGAAAACAAACAATGTTTTTGAGCTCAACACACCCAGATGTTTGAGAGAAAACAAACAATGTTTTTGAGCTCAACACACCCAGATGTTTGAGAGAAAACAAACAGTGTTTTTGAGCTCAACACACCCAGATGTTTGAGAGAAAACAAACAATGCTATTGAGCTCAACACACCCAGATGTTTGAGAGAAAACAAACAATGCTATTGAGCTCAACACACCCAGATGTTTGAGAGAAAACAAACAATGCTTTTGAGCTCAACACACCCAGATATTTGAGAGAAAACAAACAATGTTTTTGAGCTCAACACACCCAGATATTTGAGAGAAAACAATCTCCTAAATGTTTGCGGACAAATCGGGCTCCAAGTTAACACCGCAAACACAAACATGATTGATCTTACCATTAGTTTAGACGACATCAAACTAAACGATCACATTCTTGAACAAGTCAACAGCTTTACATACGTAGGAAGGAAGATAACTAAGACAATGCATGCAGTTTTACAAGAAAGCGCCGCTGGAACTATACCGTCTACGCACTCACAATGGATAAGACAAGACTTCTCCATCAAGTCCTCATGTGGACACCGGAAGGGAAAAGAAAACGATGAAGACCAAGAGAGACTCTACGTAGAACCAACATCAGGAAAGGCTCAACCATGGCCTAAACAAACATCCAAGACCTGAAGCAGGTGGCATCGAACCACCAGACATGGAGAGCTATGACCTCTGCCCTATGTGCCGCCCTAGGCCCAAGAGGAAAGACTAATTAGCAATACAGGGTGCAAATTCACACAGATAAACCAGCTGGTGCTGCACCACATAATGTATGACAAGCAAACGTGGTCACAGCCCTCAGAGAGCAGGGGCATAATGCAGATGCCCGAATAAATCATTTTGGTGTGGTGAGAAAGTGCAGTCGTGAGTGACAAGCCAATCCGGCTGCCACTCTATACTCAGAGGGAAAGCAAGACGGACATAGGAGAGTGGTTTGAAAAGTAAGGCCTCCAAGGACATAACTGTGCTAATGTGACTGGAGGCAAATAACACAATGTGAGAATATTGTATGAGTAAGTGACTCTCAAGACATAAATGGTCACCCATGTAGAAAGTGGCACATGCACACAACAGTATCCAAAATGGCAACATACAAAGAAATTCACTTGAAGCAACAGGCTGTTACTGAATTCTTGATGGGCCAAAGGTTGTATACTTATCTACATGTATAGAAGAATGACAGTTGTATATGCTGGTGCCTGTGTGGATGTCAGTATTGTTGGGAGGGGGGCAAGGACTGAAAGGACTCCTCACAAGTTCACACTGTAAATGAAACAGTGCTGACAGGTGTCAGGAACACCTGAAGCATTATGAAGAGGAAAGCGATGCCTTTATCTGTCAAAATGTCACCGGCGACGAAGGTCACTATGACCCTTAAAAAAAACGTCACTATGACCCTAAAAAAGCAAGCAACAATCTATGGAATACAGCCATAAAAACTGCAAAAAGTTTTAGGTTGCAATGTCAGCAGGAAAGGTTTTGAAGATCATTTTCTGGGACTGCCAGGGCGTAATACAAGAAGAAGAATTTTTGTGTTAAAGCAGAGCAATACTGTCAACTGTGATTGCTGTGTGGAAATGTTTCAGAAACTACACGCAAGATTTCTGCATGTCTGTCCTGGCAAACACTCAGTTTTTCAATATGACAATGCTCGCCCACACACGCACAGACAAACGCCAGCATCAGAGCATCTCAACTTTGATAACATTTTGGTGCATCCAGCATACTGTCCGAATTTATGTGACTTTTTCTTGTTTCCTTAGTTCAAGGAATATGCCAAGGGAAACAGATATGCTTCTGCCGATGATGTGGCAGCTAATGTGCGTTCCTGGATCCACGAAAAAGCATCCAATTTTTTTTCTATGGGATATGACAACTTGTTTGATGTTGGCGTGTGTGTGTGGAACAAGGTGGTGACTGCATTGAAAAATAATGACACTTTAATTTTAGGATACCTCAAGTTTTCCAAAAATGTGTGTTTCATGTGTACATGAGGTATATTAACAAAGTTATGTCCTTGGAGAAATTACTTTTCAAACTGCCCTCCCATAAATAAATTGCTAATGGTACCATCAGAATGGGAACTCTTCACCTGCTGCTGAAGACGAGGATGGAGCACATATGAGAATGTTCCAAGTGCTGTGATGTCAGTTCTTGACTCAAACCAAACAGAATAATAATTATAACCAAATTCACAACATTCTGGGAGAGCAGACACGTTTAGAATGATATTCAGATTAAAATTTGCAACATCAGGCACATAAAATCACATTTCAAAACACCTGGTGTAGCTAATTTGATGGCAACCACCTTCACGTTCCAGGAAATTTCCTTGTACTCCCTTTAGACTGCAATGATTTCCTTAAAAATCGCCCCAATGCAACTGCAGTATGAAAGATGAGTGTGTGGAAGAGCCGAATGTAAGATTGGCCTGCAAACCCAATTTGTAACCATTTTAAAAAAAAGTTTGTTGATTTGTTTCCCATGAAAGAAATGTGCTGGCAAGCAGGAATGTTAGGCACCACAGCTCCTCTAGAGATATCTGACCTCAATTCCAAGCATACAACCACATCTTAGATACAACTTTTGAAACAAATATATAATATAGGGCAATGAAAAGTATTTAGGTTTGGGCCAAGATGGCGGGGACTGTTTCCCTCTAACTTTGACTCAAGACAGTTGATTGACGACCCGACAAGCTGCCATTGTAAAACACCCTTTGTTTAGAGTCAGATTTCTAGCTCTAAATGTTATGATGCTTAATTCAAAAAAGGAAAATAATGTATCCAATTTTATAAGAAAGAGCTGCTGGAACTACAATGGCCATGCACTCAGTATGGATAAGATCGGACTTCCCCATCAAGCCTTCAAATGGACACCAGAAGAAAAAAGAAAACTGGAAAGACCAAGAGAGCCTTGCGTAGAACCATCATCAGAGATGGCTCAACCCAGGGCCTAATGAACATCCAAGACTTAAAACAGGTGGCAAGAAACCGCCAGATGTGGACACCATGACCTCTGCCCTATAGGCCACCCTATGTTCAAGATGAAAGACTAACCAACTGACTAACTAACTAACAAGGCTAACTAACTGACTAACTAACTAACAGACAAAACAAAATAATGAGAAAAGTATAATTGAATCACAATCATGCCAGATGCAAGAATAAATGTTTAAACCAGAACAAAACATTAGGTATACAATACAACAAACCCTACCTGGCAGGCTGTGCAGATACTGGAACATTTGATCCCTTTTTCTCATTCCAGTAATCATTTAATTTATTAGAAAATGCTGCCATTACAGAACTGTGGATGAAAATAACTGCTGTCAACAATGAGGGTGAACATGTCAACACGGAGGGTAACCATGTCAACACGGAGGGTGAACATGTCAACACTGAGGGTGAACATGTCAACACTGAGGGTGAACATGTCAACACTGAGGATGAACATGTCAACACGGAGGGTGAACATGTCAACACTGAGGGTGAACATGTCAACACTGAGGGTGAACATGTCAACACTGAGGGTGAATATGTCAACACCGAGGGTGAACATGTCAACACTATGAACATGAGGATGAACATGATCTGAAATATTGTAATAACTACACAGCTTTAGCGTGCGTCTGCAACAATCTTTCCACAGCCAGCTGTTCTGCATGCATTTCTTGAGAAACATAATGCTACCATACCACCATAAACTCAATTCAAATACTAGATTTACCTGAGATAATTTTCATTTGGCAGACAAAACTATGGCATCTAAAGGTGTGCTCAGGCACTTGCAGCTGCAACCAGCAGTGTTAAAGCTGGCTAGCTTCTCTTCAGAGAAGTTAAAAGTGAAATTTAAGTAGCCTGCCAATGACCCATACAGCACCCACTTAGTGGTGCCCTCTAATGGGGCAATAACTCCCTTGGAAGGAGGCAGGAACCAAATAGGTGAGATTTATTCTGCCCCGCCATGCGACCAGCCTAGGAAGCTAGCAATGGTGTAATTGATCGTTACTACAAACACATATTGAATCATTATAGGCCAAACTGCAGGTGAAACCTCTTACAGCATAAAATCTGGGAGGAAGGCGAGAGGAACACCAAGAAAGAGAAGGATAAATGGTGTAGTTGAAACCTGCAAAAAGATGAACAAATCCATACTCAAGTCACCCGAGAAGGGCAAGACTAATACAGAAAACCACACACTGGGCTACAACCTTGTAATAGTGAGATGACAAACCCCGACACTGCTCTACAACCTTGTAATAGTGAGATGACAAACCATGGCACTGGGCTACAGCCTTGTATCAGTGAGATGACAAACTACGACACTGGGCTACAACCTGGTATCAGTGAGACGACAAACCACGACACTGGGTCACAACCTGGTATCAGTGAGACGACAAAACCATGACACTGGGATACAAAATGGCATCAGTGAGACGACAAATACAGAAAGCCATGAAACTGGTATCAGTGAGATGAGAAAAGAAAAAAAAAAACCATATTTCTGTAATTAGTGCAATGAAATAACAACATTCAATGAGGCTTAAAGTACAAGCAATATATGTTGCTCTTTAACTATTATTAATATATAAGAATTGCAATGTGTCCGGCTTTCGACCTATGTTTTGAAGATTCACTATGGGTATTTCTTCCGCATTCATCAGCACTGTAAATGTTTACTTTACATCAGAAAGAAGACTTTATCTATTTTGTCCAACACATCTGACATCTCAGCACTTGTGTTCCAGATGAGCCATCAGGTTTAAGAGACATCTCTAGTCTCAGTCTAATTATGCCTGTTGCACACAGATAAATGCACATCATCAAGTCTATTGAGAACAGCCAATCACGTACTTTATGGCCAACAAAGAAAGCAGATACATGGGCATTACTTACAATCAAAGAAGGCTTGCAACAAAACAGAGTGACCCAAAATTCAAACAATGAATAAAAATATACAACCTGCACACTAAACTTGTGAGATAAATAAAACATCCTTTACATAACCAAGAGAACATTTCTCAAACATTTACTGGAACTTCTCATCCTTTACATAACCAAGAGAACATTTCTCAAACATTTACTGGAACTTCTCATCCTTTACATAACCAAGAGAACATTTCTCAAACACTTACTGGAACTTCTCATCCTTTACATAACCAAGAGAACATTTCTCAAACATTTACTGGAACTTCTTATCCTTTACATAACCAAGAGAACATTTCTCAAACACTTACTGGAACTTCTCATCCTTTACATAACCAAGAGAACATTCCTCAAACATTTACTGGAACTTCTCATCCTTTACATAACCAAGAGAACATTTCTCAAACATTTACTGGAACTTCTCATCCTTTACATAACCAAGAGAACATTTCTCAAACACTTACTGGAACTTCTCATCCTTTACATAACCAAGAGAACATTTCTCAAACACTTACTGGAACTTCTCATCCTTTACATAACCAAGAGAACATTTCTCAAACATTTACTGGAACTTCTCATCCTTTACATAACCAAGAGAACATTTCTCAAACACTTACTGGAACTTCTCATCCTTTACATAACCAAGAGAACATTTCTCAAACATTTACTGGAACTTCTCATCCTTTACATAACCAAGAGAACATTTCTCAAACACTTACTGGAACTTCTCATCCTTTACATAACCAAGAGAACATTCCTCAAACATTTACTGGAACTTCTCATCCTTTACATAACCAAGAGAACATTTCTCAAACATTTACTGGAACTTCTCATCCTTTACATAACCAAGAGAACATTTCTCAAACACTTACTGGAACTTCTCATCCTTTACATAACCAAGAGAACATTTCTCAAACACTTACTGGAACTTCTCATCCTTTACATAACCAAGAGAACATTTCTCAAACATTTACTGGAACTTCCCATCCTTTACATAACCAAGAGAACATTTCTCAAACACTTACTGGAACTTCTCATCCTTTACATAACCAAGAGAACATTTCTCAAACATTTACTGGAACTTCTCATCCTTTACATAACCAAGAGAACATTTCTCAAACACTTACTGGAACTTCTCATCCTTTTCGAAGTCCTGCTTGTTGTGGATCGGCTGCAGAAAGTCGACTTGTGCAACTCCAACAACACCAACACCCAGACCATTTGGCTAAAAGTGGCAGGAAAAGGACATTTCCATACAAAAACAAGAAATCACACAAATGTTTATTAGTAGTAGTAGATTTTTACCCCACTAGGACATCACACAAGCAATAAACACCATGTGGATGAGGATCACCCGTGGAGAGGTCCCAGAAACCACGTTCAGCCATTAGACCATATTTATGGCAGGGCTATATTGCGGCCCCTGGCAAGAGCCAGAGTAGGGCTTCAAATAACGAAAAATTGCATCTCGCAAGGAGATGACTGGATTATGTGTCAAAAAATGTTTGTGCCTGCTGCAAACTGATTGACTGTTGATGAAAAAATATCATCACGACATATTTCAATACTGATGGTGTCTTGCCATACAGCCCTAAATCCTCAGGCTGTAGACATCACTTGTGCTTCAGCAGCTTAAAAGAGTGATCAATACAGGCTGTAAAGGCTGGTATCTGCCGGGGCATGGTAGAATGCTCTGCTACAAAGGCTGGTATCTGCCGGGGCATGGTAGAATGCTCTGCTACAAAGGCTGGTATCTGCCGGGGCATGGTAGAATGCTCTGCTACAAAGGCTGGTATCTGCCGGGGCATGGTAGAATGCTCTGCTACAAAGGCTGGTATCTGCCGGGGCATGCTAGAATGCTCTGCTACAAAGACTGGTATCTGCCGGGGCATGGTAGAATGCTCTGCTACAAAGGCCGGTTATACTATTATGTTACCATGTGCTGATGTTATCTCCCCTGATGTTGAGAGCCCACATGTGACACATCTTAACTACTTTTGTTTTTCATTGTTTTTAATAAGGTGCAACATCTATACATGCAAAAGTATTTAAGCCGATTGGTCTTATTTTCAGACACTTTCAGTCTTTATTTGCTTTTCCGTTTCCGTAACATTCATCAGACTTTACAACCTCATTTCAAAAGACTCCTTGTATGCTTCTCAGATTTCTGATACTGTTCACATCTCCGCACAGTACAATGCTGACATAAAGAGATTATTCAGCACAGGAAGACGTCTACTTTTTTGTGCACAGTCTCAGCACAGACAAGTTTTAGGTAACAACAATTAATACAAGTAAAATCATCAAAACATTTCATCATTATTCTGTTTTTTGTTTGTTCACATAGGTGTGACGATGATAATTTAGTACTTAGATAAGTCGATAAGACTTCATTTAACCGACTCCATTAACACGACCAGGGCGATACTATCACCAACCCCCAGCTAATAACAGTTTGAGTGAGAACAACTTCTGGACCGACAAGAAATACATAAGATTTACGATGCTCACAAGAAGCTCATCACCAACAGTGTCGATTTTTTTTCTTCTTCACATTCAACTGTTGTAAACTTCGACGGAAAGTTCTGGTTGTTGTCCACTCCTGGAATTTTGTCTTGATACAGAACTTGAGTTTTGCTTGCACATCCATTTTACAGATCTGGCTTATTTGTGTGCAGACTGCTGGTTCAGGCACAGCACTCTCCTTGAAGGAAACACCCATATTTAGTTGCCTCCTATAATATGCTAGTTTGAGGGGAGGGGGAGGCAGTGGGGCTGTTCTTTGTTCTCCAAAATGGAGCCCTGGAATCCACACAGGGAAACTGTAGGTGAAAGGTCATATAGCAAAGATCCTCAAAACTGTGTCTTCCTGCTGTAAATGTAAATAATGCAGTCACAAACAATACATGCACAACTGACAGCCCAGCATATATTGCTGTATCTCGGCGGATGCATTATTCAAGTGTTAAATATCAACATATCATGAAGCACTGCAGAAACACTAATCCTTGTCCCTAAATTACGTATACCACATTGTCTAGTTTTCTCTCTGCCAGTTGAGAAGATCTTCTTTTCCATAAATTCAAGATAACCCATGTTAGTAAGCTAGTTAAGTCTTTTCTTTTGGGCCTAGGGCGGCAGAGATCATTACTCTCCATGTCTGGTGGTTCGTTGTCACCTGCTTTAGGTCTTGGATGTTTGTTATTTCTATGGTTGAGCCTTCTCTGATGATGGTTCTACACAGTCTCCCTTGGTTTTCCCAATTTTTTTTTTCTCCTTTCGGTGTTCATATGAGTGCTTGATGGGGAAGTCTTTTCTTATCCATTCTGTGCATGGCCAATGTAGTTCTAGTGGCGCTTTCTTATAAAACTGAATATACTGTCTTGCTTAGTCTCTTGTCTTATTTGCGTACTGGATCTGAAATCTGTCCTTCTAAGACATTTGTTCTCAAAATTGTCTATTTTTTGTTGTATCTAGAACCACCATTGCTTTCCAACTCTTGCATCCATAAGTTAGCACTGGAATCACACACAAGTTGAAGATCTTAAGTTTTTTGTGATTGCTGCGTGTCTTTGACTTCCAGATGTTTGACAGTTTGTTCAAGAGCAGTGTGGTTCTAGATATTTCTTTCACTGAGCTCCCTAAAGATGTCATCTTACTTCCTAGTTTGTTAAGCTGTTGACTTGTTCAAGAATGTGATTGTTTAGTTCGATGTCATCTGAATTATTGGTAAGATCAATCATTTTTGTTTTTGTTTGGAGACCAGTTTGTCCTGAAACATTCTGGAGATGGTTTGTTTTCTTTCAGATATCTGGGTGCGTTGAACTCAACAACACTACGTCGTCAGCAAAGTCAAGGTCTTCTAGAATTTTGTTAACCCAATTGATACTAATATTTGTGTTATTTGGGCATGACACCATGTACTGCTGTTCCAAAGAGCATTGGTGATAGGACACAGTCTTGTTTCATTCCTGTTTGCACTGGGAAACAGTCCAAGTTGCCGGATTCTGTTCTTTCACTGCAAGTTATTTCATTGTAGAAGGATTTTATGACATTGATGAATTTGGTAGGAAGATTTTAAGTAGCCTCCACAGTGAAGGACAGTGGATACCGTCAAAAACTTTGAAAGTTGACAAAGTTGATGATAAACTGCGATTGAAATTCGAGATTTGTCAAAAATTACTCTGAGGGTGAAGATGTGGTCTACACATGACTGTTTTGGCCTGAAGCCTGCTTGTTCTCTTAGCCTTTTATCTTTAGACTTTTTTCAATCTCTCAAGTAGCAAACACTGAAAGCATGGTGATACCATGCAAAGTTATTACAATCAGACAGATCAACAATTTTTAGGCAGTTTGAAAATTACACCATCTTTACACTGTTGTGGTGGGGATTCACTTTGCCAGATGTTGTCAATCAGCTGTAGCAAACACTGTAAAGTATTCTCATCTGCTGATTTCAGCATTTCTCCGGACACATCATCATGACCAACAGCTTTGGTTTTTTTTAAAATTTGAATGGTTGATTTCATCTCTTCCACTGTGAATGTTTCACAGGAGGCATCTAGTGGGGGGGGGGGGGGGGGGGGGGGTGTGGTAACATGGCAATAAGCCATGTGAATACTTCCAAAATCAACAGAATACTAAAATCCCCATGAAGCAGTTACCTGTTTCTGGTATCCCACTTTCTCAAAAGCCTTGATAAGTCTGTTTCTATGGTAAAGCATCATGCCATAATCAGAATCATCTTCTCTTCCCTTGTCACACGTGAAGCCAAAGATGATTTTCACTGGGCGTGACTGTGTGTATGAGAAACAAGAGCAGACAGTTATCCTTTGTAGAGCAATATCAAAATACAAGCTATGCATCTGTAATGAGTAAGATTCAAATCATATACATTTTAATTTTTATATAGAATGAACAGTAAAGTAAAGTAGTAAAGCAACCAGCATCAGACATATGATTTTAGTTTGTATATAGAATGAACAGTAAAGTAAAGTAGTAAAGCAACCAGCATCAGACATATGATTTTAAATACAAGCAACAAATTAAGTAAAAACTACAACTGACAGATACAGACTTGTAATGTTTCTAAACCTAAGATCCTAAATTCTGGTACTATTTCTAGTCTGCTCAATTATAGTTTCTCACACCTACATTAGATTGCAAAATTCAATGTGGAAATAATAATGCCTATAGTGTACATTTGGGTGGGGTGGGAGGAACTGACTACTAAGACACATTTATGTACAGTAGTTTGCCAGTGCTTTCTGGACGGGTGGCTTCTTGATATCAGTCAAAACCAACTCAAGGTCCACAGCCTAAGCCACAGACAACTTTCTACTAAAGGAAGTAATCAATACAGCAAAGAATTAACTACTTTCTTTCCTTCTGACCATGAAAAGTTCAGCTGAATCAAGAACTGCCATCACAGAACTCAGGGTATTCCCATGCACGCTCTGTCCCCATCTTCAGCAGCAAGTGCAAAGTTACAATACTAATAGTACCGGTTGTTATCTGGTTATATCTCAGTTTTGCCTTTCTTCTGAGTGTAGTGAGCCTGCCTGACCCTCTAGTTACACTTAGATGCATTATTCTCCTGACCCTCTAGTTACACTTAGATGCATTATTCTCTTGACCCTCTAGTTACACTTAGATGCATTATTCTCTTGACCCTCTAGTTACACTTAGATGCATTATTCTCTTGACCCTCTAGTTACACTTAGATGCATTATTCTCCTGACCCTCTAGTTACACTGAGATGCATGATTCTCCTGACCCTCTAGTTACACTGAGATGCATGACTCTCCTGACCCTCTAGTTACACTGAGATGCATGACTCTCCTGACCCTCTAGTTACACTGAGATGCATGATTCTCTTGACCCTCTAGTTACACTGAGATGCATGATTCTCCTGACCCTCTAGTTACACTTAGATGCATGATTCTCCTGACCCTCTAGTTACACTTAGATGCATGATTCTCCTGACCCTCTAGTTACACTGAGATGCATTATTATCCTGACCCTCTAGTTACACTTAGATGCATGATTCTCCTGACCCTCTAGTTACACTTAGATGCATGATTCTCCTGACTCTCTAGTTACACTTAGATGCATGATTCTCCTGACCCTCTAGTTACACTTAGATGCATGATTCTCCTGACCCTCTAGTTACACTTAGATGCATGATTCTCCTGACCCTCTAGTTACACTTAGATGCATGATTCTCCTGACCCTCTAGTTACACTGAGATGCATGATTCTCCTGACCCTCTAGTTACAACCAGGTGCATTATTCTCCTGACCCTCTAGTTACACTTAGATGCATGATTCTCCTGACCCTCTAGTTACACTTAGATGCATGATTCTCCTGACCCTCTAGTTACACTTAGATGCATGATTCTCCTGACCCTCTAGTTACACTTAGATGCATGATTCTCCTGACCATCTAGTTACACTTAGAATATTAGATGCATTATTCTCCCGACCCTCTAGTTACAACCAGGTGCATTATTCTCCTGACCCTCTAGTTACAACCAGGTGCATTATTCTCTCCAGGCCATAATAATATAATTTCTTTACTGAATCCATTGCTTGTTCCCAAAGGGCCTGACCACATCTGCCTTGTCACGTATCAATTCACCACCTAGTGGTGCAGTCCAGCTAATCAGTCTCCCTGTTCATTCCCAACGAAGCCGGCATTGCTTGGAGAAAAAAATCCAAAGTTTGCTCACTTTCCGTGAACTTCCCAGTAAAGCTTACCATTCTGCTCAAAGCACCCCTGCCTTCACCTTTTTCAGCATGCTCTTAGAGTCTGTTACAATTATGATATGTATATGCATCTTGTTTTCTAGCCACCGGAAAGCTGCAGTAACCGCATCCACCTCTATTCTCAAGCTAGATGTTGTGGTATCGCATGCTTGGTTGTCCTGCACTAAAGACTTTCCATAGGCTTTCGCTACAAACCCTCAGGCACTTCTCTTTCCTCTCAACACTGAACCATCTGTATAGACAATCAGATCACCTGGACGTGAATTGTCGTGAATCAACTGTTGGACTTCTACCTCCGTAGCACCTGCTGGCCACTCTGCACTCCTGACTCAATGTTATCATACCCTACACAGGTCAGACTTTTCCTCTGTACTCTGACCCACTTCTCTCCTCACCAATGTTCTTCAGCATGCATACTTGTCTTATTGTGTCTTCTGCCTGAGACATCCACGATTTTTCCCTTTTCAGCCTCCGACCCTTGCTTCATACAGAGGGTGCTCTTTGCCTGCAGCTACTCTGAGGTATGCCTTAGCCTGCAGCACCTTTAGTCTATCTGCAATGGTTGGCAGTGCAAGAATGTATCGCATGCACACAATTGGAGTGTCTCTTGTACAACCCAGGATCACCCGCATAGCTTCATTCTGTATGCGCTCCAGTTTTGCTAGCTGACTTATCGAGACAGCGAGTAGCCCCAGTCTAGAATCAATCACTGAGAAGATTAAGTGCTGGTAAAGTATGAACAGCATTCTCTGCTACATGTACATTGCTGCCATAATCTTTAGTGCAATAGGACCTTTTTGAGCCTTTGTTACAACCCCCTTTATGTGATCCCTGAAAGACAAACGTCTGTTAGAGGTGATGTCCATGCCATTTATTCTGAGGCTTGGAACATAAGCTCTAACAATCCTGTTGTCCAAAGAACACTACAGGACGCCCCCGTGTGGGTTCCGGGGCCCTATTGTGGGGAAAACAAGAATAGACCCACTGCCTCCCCAAAAGCATGTCGTAAGAGTCGACTAACTGGGGAGCTTCCTTTGAAGTCGGAGTGCATCTGCCTGAGAGGCAAGGAACCAGCAGTCTGCATTCAATTGAATCAGATCTGTAAAACTGATGCACATGCAACACTCAGGTTCTGGAGCATGACTGCAGTCCAGAAGTGGATGAACAACCTGAACTTTACGCCAGAGTGTACAGCTGGAGAACACAAAGAAGAAGAAGACTACAGGACGGCTGCATTTTCTGGGCTGATTACAGCACTTATCTATGAACACCAGTTGATCACCTTATCTACTGTAACTCTTGAGCTATTTTATTCCGATCTCTCCCCTTTCTTTATACGAGAATGCCTTGTGCAAAAGTCAATATTCTGCCAACTCTAGGTTTGCAATATTGCTCATAAAAACATTGAACAATACAGGTGAAACTGCAGATCCCTGTGGGCTATAATACATGGTTTGAAGGCTCACGAACCCAAACAGAGAGTTACCCGACGAGTATACAAAACAGCTGCTATCCAGTTCACCAACCAAGGACAGACTCCCAGTGCTGTCAACAAGATACTGTATCTGACTGTGTTGTAAGCATCTTCTAAATCGAGTGCCGCCACTAAGGTTTCCTGTCTGTTCTGGAAAGTTCAAAGGTGTCAAAGGCAAAAGTGGCTGCAGTTGACCATGTGTCCTTCCCTGACCTTTCTTTGACCATGAAAAATGTGTTTTTGCTAACACATTCACATGGAGCAAAGTGACATCATTTTCAAGTTGTTATGTTTATTTCCTCCCACCCTAATTGAAGTAATATCTTAACTGTTTGTGTAACGATAACCATATCCACCATTGTCTACACATTACGCAGCTGCAACCAGTACCGAAGCTGCCAAGTAGGCCTAGTTGTACCGGCCAAAGATGACATGTAGGTGTAGTTGTACCGGCCAAAGATGTCATGTAGGTGTAATTGTACCGGCCAAAGATGACATGTAGGTGTAGTTGTAGTTGTACCCGCCAAAGATGACATGTAGGTGTAGTTGTACCGGCCAAAGATGACATGTAGGTGTAGTTGTACCCGCCAAAGATGCCATGTAGGTGTAGTTGTACCCGCCAAAGATGCCATGTAGGTGTAGTTGTACCGGCCAAAGATGTCATGTAGGCGTAGTTGTACCGGCCAAAGATGTCATGTAGGTGTAGTTGTACCGGCCAAAGATGACATGTAGGCGTAGTTGTACCGGCCAAAGATGTCATGTAGGTGTAGTTGTACCGGCCAAAGATGACATGTAGGTGTAGTTGTACCGGCCAAAGATGTCATGTAGGTTTAGTTGTACTGGCCAAAGATGTCATGTAGGTTTAGTTGTACCGGCCAAAGAAGTCATGTAGGTTTAGTTGTACCAGCCAAAGATGTCATGTAGGTTTAGTTGTACCGGCCAAAGATGTCATGTAGGTTTAGTTGTACCGACCAAAGATGGCATTTAGGTTTAGTTGTACCGGCCAAAGATGACATGTAGGTGTAGTTGTACCGGCCAAAGATGTCATGTAGGTTTAGTTGTACCGGCCAAAGATGTCACGTAGGTTTAGTTGTACCGACCAAAGATGGCATTTAGGTTTAGTTGTACCGGCCAAAGATGACATGTAGGTGTAGTTGTACCGGCCAAAGATGTCATGTAGGTTTAGTTGTACTGGCCAAAGATGTCATGTAGGTTTAGTTGTACTGGCCAAAGATGTCATGTAGGTTTAGTTGTACCGGCCAAAGATGTCACGTAGGTTTAGTTGTACCGACCAAAGATGGCATTTAGGTTTAGTTGTACCGGCCAAAGATGACATGTAGGTGTAGTTGTACCGGCCAAAGATGTCATGTAGGTTTAGTTGTACCGGCCAAAGATGTCACGTAGGTTTAGTTGTACTGGCCAAAGATGTCATGTCATCAAACACCTGCAAATGCCATATAACTGGTTCTTGCAAGCTAACAGGGTTAATTCCCAAGAAAATATGTGTACTGTGAAGCCACTTCAACCCTCAAGTCTTGTCGTCCACAATTAAAGCCACAGCCTTGTTTGTTAAACCCAGGGCCATCAGAAAAGTATGCTAGCCACTGCACTGATATGTTTCCTTGAATATGTGTTCTAATCTTTACCACATGTTCTAACTTTGAATGCATACATGTTCTAACTGCGATTACATGATCTAACCTTTAACACAAGTTCTAACTGTGATTACATGATCTAACCTTTACCACATGTTCTAGCTTTGAATGTATACATGTTCTAACCATGATTACGTGAACTAATCTTCAACACATAACTTTGAATATATACATGTTTTAACCGTGACTACATGACCTAATCTTTAACACATGTTCTAACCCAAGAAACTGATTTCAGTGGCTGTGAGAGCACAAGTTGGGTAACTCTGGCTATAAGCAATTGTAAATAAGAATGCTTTCACAGTAACTTGGAATTACATGGTTCATATCCACTTGCAGGACAAATTATTCACAAAGGGATTTAATTCTCCCTGATCTCTGGGTAGAGATGCCTAGCCTTCTCAGATTAATGCAGATAACAGGAAGCTAGGTGTGCCCATTGTGTATGCTCACAAAAATAAACTAATAATATTAGACTGAAATGGCAGGCCCTAATGAAATGTCAAAATGAGAAACCTTACCCATGATAACAAATTTATAATATTTATGCAGAACTGAAAGAAGGCAACACCAGTACATAGCATTCACACCCAGAAGACATCATCATTCACATCGATGGGTCCGTGAAGTGCGGGTCAAGATCTGGCATACCCAGGATGTGGAAACAATGAAAGAGGACAGCAGCGCTTACCAGACAACTACCTCAGACATGACCATAGAGATAACTGCTGCTTCTAGAGCATGCGCATGGGTTGCAGACTCCATGAACATGCTTCAGAAAATCACAACAAGTAGCCTATGCTCCAAATGGATAGAAAGCATTCAGAAGTCGCAGTTAACCTCCATCAATTGGTTTCAGACACTTGGGCATGTAGAAGTGGTAATGAAAGAGCTGATCATCTGGCAAGTAATGCCCAAATGCACATGAGAAGAAGCATGGATACAGCTGAAATAATCAACTCTGTACGGACTAAGTTGGGGGATAATGTTGAATCTCTGATGCTAACATGATTGTATGACTAAGGAGTCAAGCTTGGTAAAGCATGTCTATGCCATCTTCGAAGTAAAGGCAGTAGATCCTATAACCAACTCCTCATGGGAACAATCAGCAGATTTACACTGGAGGACTAAGCACGCATGGGGACGCCTAATGTGCTAAGACATTGATTGTAATAACATAACATATAACTAGTACACCCACATGATTGTGGAGGAATAGAAAGAGACAGATGATAAGCGTGTGAACATCACACATCATCAACACACAAGTCGAGCAACATCCTGCACACAGAGTAAACAAGGCAGAAACTGAAGTATGTAACTTACCAGCCATGTTGGTTTATACATGTCTATCTCTGTGTTAGACAGTGACTTGGAAATCAGCTTGGATTTGACCCGCATGCCCCTTATAGTGATTTTCATCCGTGGTCGCAGAAACAAAATGCTGCAGTATTCCTGTAAACATCAACTCATCCATGTTATAATTACTGCACAAAAAACAACCTTACTTGAATCAATGGAACAATGAACAGACACATGAAAGCATACATTCCATCAGCTTTATCAGTTCTGGACATTAAAACATGCTTATGTGGTCTTTTTAACAGAAATACAATTCTTAGAATATCCCAGACCAAGAAGATTAAATCATCGACATCCAACTTGATCTGAACATACACGAGAGCTGGATGATAAACAGCATCCAGTTCCGAAAGCTGAGGTATTCAGGCCATGTTAAAAATCATGGTAGCCCCAAAAAAAAAAAAAAACTGTTACTGGAGGGTAGTTTCATGAAATGAGGCCGAGGCCAACCTCCACCAATGTGGACTTAAGATACTGAAGATGCATTGGCTATGAAGAACTGGTCAGAGACAGAAACTTACAGGCGTGACGTGATAAGAGCAATGATCTGTAAAGAACCTGTTGACTTATAATGAATAACACATACTCCCAGACACGATAATTTCTAGACAGTTCCATAGCAAATACTATGTCACAGGGAATGTTAGACCGTGACCTGTTCTTAGCCATGACCTTCAAGGTGAGGTAACCAGTTTCTTTCCTTCCTGGACAATCCCCAGACAATTATGGAAGTTGTCTGCCCACCATCTGTATCAGCTAGCAGGAACAAATGCTGCAACTTCTGAGGAGTGAGCCAAGACCACTGACTCTTTACCAAGACCACTGACTCTTTACCAAGACCACTGGCTCTTTATATATGTATACTAAACTCTACGTCATAGCAGCTGTACAATTAGTCTAAGACAGATATGACTGACGGATGTTCTCCAAAAATTGTGTATGTCATGCTCACACTTTGATTATAAATAAGAAGCAATAACAAAACTCTACCCGTAAGGAACGCTTGTACTCAGAAGTGTACTGTTGGATGGGGCGGTGGTAGACGGATGTCATGTCAATCTCATGGGCTTCTGGACAACGGATATCTGTGGGATCACTGGCAAAGTCCAGCTCATAGGTACCATCTTGTAGCCTTTGGAGGACAACAAGACAAGAAAAATTAGCTTTAACAAGATGCAACAATTGATGACAGCTAAAAAGATAAACATTGACTGGAATGATTGACACATTAAAAATTGACAACTTCAAATGTTATTTATACTGAACCCACCGCATGGTATGAAGCTCGGACAATGAAGAAAAACTAGAAAATCAAACCGAGTCTCTGGTGAAGTGGATATACATAAGAGGATGTATAAGTGGAAATAAAAATAACAAAATCAGAAGTTTTGGATAGACTGGAAGTGAAAAGATGGTTGGAGAAAAACAAATAACACACACAAAAACCAATTAAATATTTCAACATAACTTATTTTAAAACCATATTGGGAAAAATTGATGGCATGCAGGAGGACATCAAGAGATAGAAGAAAAGCAGTTTGAGACAGCGTACAACCAAGGTGAACGAGCAAGCATGCTGTAGATTGACCACAGCCAATCTTCGCTGCGGACATGGTTCCTGACTGACTGACTGATGACAAAAGAAATTTACAAATTGTGCCATTATAATCATTTCATTATAATGTAGGACACATTTTTGTAAAAGTAATGTTTTGATTTTTAGAATTAAAATAAATAAACAGAATTATTTTTTATGATGACGATAAAATGAATTGACCAATCAAGTTGTCAAATTAGCAAATCAATTTATTTATTAAGAATAAACTTACAATTTACCTTTTAAGATTAGAGATGATAATTTTGGTTCCTGTCTTAGAACCCTCCAATGCTTTCAATTCTTCCTTTAGTTCATTCTCCAGTCTAAACACAGAGTATTCAAGGATGGCATTGAGGTTGTTCCGTGACTCCTGGCTCTTGATGCGTTCCAGTGAAGTCTCATTAAGGCGTCACAATTTGATTAATATGGGTTTATATTATCAAATACATGCATACATAAAAGCAAACTCGAACTGGCAAGCAGTTTTTGAAACAACTCATTCAACATCTGTACACAATGCTGAAAATAAGGTACCCCAATAATAAAGAAACCAGTCAATGCTAGCTATTTACATGTTCTATATTCTATGTAGCATAAATTACAGTGTGATCAACAAGGCAGACACCTCATGGATACCAGCAGTCATGTACCGTAGACAGTCTCAGATTCCTACTCCAGCGTAAGCATGACAGCCAGCCAGCTAGCCCACTTGAACTGACGGTCTACTAGTTATAGGTTCAACTACTCAACACAGATTTCAATATTCTTTCTTTGACCTTAAGAGAAATAAATACATATTTAGTCGTGGGGTTGGAAAAGGGGGGGGGGGGGGGGGGGGGGGGGAGGGTGCTGCAGTAGGTATATTCATCCCCCCCCCCCCCAAAAAAAAAATTTGACCCAGATATATGGGGAATTAAAATACTGAACTGGGCTCTAAGGTCAACGTAGTTTAAAATGGATATAAGGAAATGTGAGAAGGGAAGCCAATCAGCAAGATACTGACCACACCAGCCATCAGTACCATTCAGCTTATGAAAATATGCCATACACCTCATGTCTTCATATGTGAAAATAGGACCTCTGAGTTTTTAACTGACTATATAACATCACATATAGGCTGTTAGAAAAAAAAAAAACTATTCGTGTGTATAGTTGCCATTAGAGACACCCCTAAAGTTGCAGTGTTTTTGTGTGTGCATAAAAACAGGTGCAACTCATTTAACTCTCAAGCCCATTTGTCACAAACATACTTACATATGTGCCATGTTTCTACAGAGTGCAAGCATTTGTCACAAACATACTTACATGTGTGCCATGTTTCTATACAGAGTGCAAGCATTTGTCACAAACATACTTACATATGTGCCATGTTTCTATACAGAGTGCAATCATTTGTCACAAACATACTTACATATGTGCCATGTTTCTATACAGAGTGCAATCATTTGTCACAAACATACTTACATATGTGCCATGTTTCTATACAGAGTGCAATCATTTGTCACAAACATACTTACATATGTGCCATGTTTCTATACAGAGTGCAATCATTTGTCACAAACATACTTACATATGTGCCATGTTTCTATACAGAGTGCAATCATTTGTCACAAACATACTTACATATGTGCCATGTTTCTATACAGAGTGCAAGCATTTGTCACAAACATACTTACATATGTGCCATGTTTCTATACAGAGTGCAATCATTTGTCACAAACATACTTACATATGTGCCATGTTTCTATACAGAGTGCAATCATTTGTCACAAACATACTTACATATGTGCCATGTTTCTATACAGAGTGCAAGCATTTGTCACAAACATACTTATATATGTGCCATGTTTCTATACAGAGTGCAATCATTTGTCACAAACATACTTACATATGTGTCATGTTTCTATACAGAGTGCAATCATTTGTCACAAACATACTTACATATGTGTCATGTTTCTATACAGAGTGCAAGCATTTGTCACAAACATACTTACATATGTGCCATGTTTCTATACAGAGTGCAATCATTTGTCACAAACATACTTACATATGTGTCATGTTTCTATACAGAGTGCAATCATTTGTCACAAACATACTTACATATGTGTCATGTTTCTATACAGAGTGCAATCATTTGTCACAAACATACTTACATATGTGTCATGTTTCTATACAGAGTGCAAGCATTTGTCACAAACATACTTACATATGTGCCATGTTTCTATACAGAGTGCAATCATTTGTCACAAACATACTTACATATGTGTCATGTTTCTATACAGAGTGCAAGCATTTGTCACAAACATACATATGTGCCATGTTTCTATACAGAGTGCAAGCATTTGTCACAAACATACTTACATATGTGCCATGTTTCTATACAGAGTGCAAGCATTTGTCACAAACATACTTACATATGTGCCATGTTTCTATACAGAGTGCAAGCATTTGTCACAAACATACTTACATATGTGCCATGTTTCTATACAGAGTGCAAGCATTTGTCACAAACATACTTACATATGTGCCATGTTTCTATACAGAGTGCAATCATTTGTCACAAACATACTTACATATGTGTCATGTTTCTATACAGAGTGCAAGCATTTGTCACAAACATACTTACATATGTGCCATGTTTCTATACAGAGTGCAAGCATTTGTCACAAACATACTTACATATGTGCCATGTTTCTATACAGAGTGCAAGCATTTGTCACAAACATACTTACATATGTGCCATGTTTCTATACAGAGTGCAAGCATTTGTCACAAACATACTTACATATGTGTCATGTTTCTATACAGAGTGCAATCATTTGTCACAAACATACTTACATATGTGCCATGTTTCTATACAGAGTGCAAGCATTTGTCACAAACATACTTACATATGTGCCATGTTTCTATACAGAGTGCAAGCATTTGTCACAAACATACTTACGTATGTGCCATGTTTCTATACAGAGTGCAAGCATTTGTAGTTAAACTGTTAGAACATTCTTGAAATGATTTGGTCAGGAAAGATGGTGATGATGGGAACTAATCACCCTACCTCATTAACGCACCTCTCTGGATGTTATTTTTTTCTTGACCCCCAGTGATATGGATGTAAAAACACATTGTTCAACTTTCCTTACAGATTTCTATGAACTGCTTTACAGGGGCCAAAGGGCAATACACATTAGCTATATTTATATCTAATTCGCCCATTTACATACAATTAATAACACAGACATTTAGGTGTGTTTACTCGATTCCGTGTATCCTGTTGCTTTACTTACCATGGTCGAGTGGTCGGTGATCTGTGAATTTTGTTCCCTGACTTATGTTTGTGGTTTTGGATTATTCTACATTTTGTTAATACCAAATAGTAAGAAAACTTGTTGAAGTTGATGAGGAATTAATGCAGTTTCTGTCAAATGAAAATGAATTTGAAATGTGAACTTCTGACAGTGAACAAAAAGATCTGATTAGGCCATCAACATGGATGGCTCAAACTGGTGTGGCCAAGAAACAGCTGTTTGCCTGCCCGACGGAATCAGCGACCATGAAGTGCCATCAAAAAGGCACAAAACTGATCAAATGTCTTGGTTTACTAATGATTTGAGACCAGTTGTTCATAATTTTTGATAACTTCAATGCTGGCTATATTTCTGCTGCTGTAAATTCTCCCTTTTTTTTCTTCAAGAAATCACTGATGACTTTCATCGCAGATGAAACTAACAGGCTCTGCAATGAAGTAATCGAGAAGACAACTGCCACTATAAGCTCTCGCCTGTCCTAATGGACAGATATTTTTTTAGTGTATTGAAAGAAAGGGGAAGTTTATTTAACATTAATTATCTTCTATACTATACAACAGACGATGCATGTGTTAGTTTTTCAAATAGTGCAATACTGGTCTTATTTTTGGATGTTGTTATCAAATGATAGTCTAGTTAGTTAGTTAGTTGGGTTATCATCATTGCACTCCGGACATGTCCATAGGTGCTCAGATCCTCCCCTCAGTATGAACCCCAACGTCCGATGGCTAATAGTACCAGTTCTATGTTGATTAACAAGTCTTCTGACGTGTCCGGTGTGCGTCTCGTTTTTTGCTGTGCCGATCTTAATTCCCAAGTCTGCCATTCTGGCGAGTGATGTGGATTCACTGCCACCAAAGTCCTCTATCCTTCCCATTTCTCTGAAGGCATTGATAATATCAGCATGATCCATAGGCCGACCGTCGCTAGTGATAGCGGATCCAGCCAACCTGTCTGCTCTTTCATTTCCATCGACGCCTGCGTTTCCCGGAACAAAAATAAAGGTGACTCCTCGCACAGTGGACTTCTGAATTGATTCAAGCCATTGTCTTCGCACTGAACCTGCCTGAACCCTCCGGATCATACTCATTGAATCACTGAGTATACATATGCGGGTGTATTTTTGTGTTTCACGCCAGGCAAATGCTTGCGTCACTGCCATCACCTCCATCGTCATGCTGCTGGTTGTCATGGAGAAGGCGCCGTTGGCTTCTTTGACTGTTCTGCCCGCTGAGCGTGCTGTAAATGCCCATGCGCTTCTTCTTTGGCGTATAACAGATCCGTCTGTATAGATTAGTGCGTCTGCTTCGTCTGAATTTTCACCGATGAGAGCGCTGACCTCTGCATTAACAGCAACAGGATTCTCTTCTCTACATCGCCTGTTGAGTGTGACAATACAGGAAAATGTACAAATAAACGCCTGAGGCACAGGTATCCATTCTACACCAGGTATGATGTCGGTTAGGCTGCATATTTGCCTAATAACATCTTCTGCCCGACCTAGCCACGATTTTCCCCTCTGGGTGTTTCTTATCAGCACATATTTTGAGGTATGCCCGAGCCCTCCACATCCTGATCCTTTGGTTCATTGTTGGAAAGTCAAGTAGATACCTAGATAGTCTAGTGTAATTGGTAACACGTCCACCTTACAATTGGAAGGTCTTGTCTTCAAACCCCATCTGGACTTTTTTTTTTCAATTGTCATTTTCGCTTTCAGTTTTTGCCACTTTTAGGCAAAGGATGACCCGTGCATTAATTTTTTTCCACAAGAAATAACATGGTGACTACAATTAATTATGATTAAAGTGGGAGCCGCAGTAGAATCATCAATCAAATTTTGGGGTAGGGATTGGGAACAGTTCTTCGCAATAATTACCCGCCCCCCCCCCCCCCCCCCACCTTTCTCTGGTGAGGGTGCTGTTACTTTGTCGGTCAAGTTTGTGGGGGCAAACGTTTGTTTAGTTTCTACTATATATACCGCAGCGGTGGAGACAACGATGAAAAGGATACATTTTCTTTCACTATCCCTAGTAAAGCCGGGCAAGTAAATCTAGTTTCTAGTAGTTACTTTCTGTAAAGACAAGGTTTCTTGGCATCAGCATCGTGCGTTTGACTTGTCATCACTCGTGCCAACCACACACCTCCTTAGTGTACAGATTTAGGTGTACAAAATATAATCCTCACCATCGACGCATCTTTTGTGTTTTGAGGATAGAAAAGTATTGCGCACAGGAGAAACTTTTTTTCCCCCACTGCTTATCATAAGGCAGACAGCTTCCGCTGGGAAGGTAGCAGCTAAAGAGTTAAGGTGTGATCTAGACTATGTGGTTTAACACTTCACAGCCACCTTCCAATGACAGGGTTTACCCTTTCCTACCACCCTTACCTTCTTCTTCTTCTTCTTCTTCTTGGTGTTTAGCTACTGTAAACTCTGATTGTTTGCTCACCTTTGGACTGTAGCTCTGTTTCAGAACCTGAGTGTTGTGTGCACATTTGTTTCACAGATCTTACTTCTCTGTATGAAGACTGTTGGTTCCTTGCCTCTCAGGCAGGTGCGCTCCAACTTCCAAGGATACCCCCAAATAAGTCAACTTTTATGACATGCTTGTTGGGGAGGCAGTCTGTCTATTCTTGTTTTCCCCACAATAGGGCCCGCCCTCCGAGAGCCAACATGGGGAGCTTTCATTATAAAATGCAATTTTCAGAATTTCTATAATGTTACATGACGTAACCAGATGATGATTTTTCTATAATGTTACATGACGTAACCAGATGATGATTTTGGAAAAGTTATAAAGAGTTTGTTTATTAAAAAAAAAGGATATGACTTGGTAATCTGTACTCCAGGATGTTACATGACGTAACCAGATGATGATTTTGGAAAAGTTATAAAGAGTTTGTTTATTAAAAAAAAAGGATATGACTTGGTAATCTGTACTCCAGGATGGGCACCACTACAGAGTCGGACTGCATGGCCGTCAGGTAGGTCTGTGACAGAAACCCAATGCATGCACTTTTCTGACACCTGGTGAAGACCAAAGCATCCTGTCCAATGCGCATGGAGCCAGACTTAAAGCCATTTCCATAATGACCAATGGGCTGGTGGGAGCCCTGTTTCTCATAGATTTCTTTCTCACAGAAACCAAAGCTGAAATATAAGGCAAGTGGAGAAATAATTGTAAACGCCACAAATTTTAAACTACTCTGCATCGGATTTATTTTTCTTGTCAATGTTTAAAGTTTTCTGGCGACAAATGAGAATTTCTGTATTACTTACTGCGGTATGCACTTATGATATGCATCATAAATAATATGTATATGCACAATAATGGTTATGGACAACTATTTTCAAACTCTGGCAACAATCTGCTGCCCCATCCTGAGTGATTTATTTTTGGCTGGAGACGTGTGGGGGTGTGAATGTCAGTGTGTCTCTATGTGCAAGCACTTTACTGTACAATACAACATTTAAGAAACTTCAATAAATATGCTATGTAGACATGACGTAAGAATGAAATTATCCCTAAAAGTGAAAAAAATTTGTTACAATTTTGCCTTTACCAGTAAGACCCAAAATGTTCATAGTCAACTCAACTCAACACTGTATGACCAAATGGCTAGCTGAAATGTTAAAACAAGTACAGGAAATTGTTTGAACCAAAAATACACGGAGACACATTTGAACTGGATGAGTTACTGGTTGGATGAATGTAAAGGAAAGAGCACTGGATCAAGGATTTAGTACTGCTGATCACAAACTCATCCTTGGAAGAAACTGAAAATGCTCAGTACTCTTAAGAAAAAGAAGAATCTGCAGTTTGGTTTACCCACCTCAAAACTTGAGAAACTGCTACTGTTTTGCATATCAAACATCACATTTAATTCACCTGAGCAATCTTTATGCCATGGGAAATCTACTGTGACCTAATCTAGCGAACATCTTTATGGCACACTTACAAGAAAGAAGATCCAAGGACAGCGATAACTCGGCTGTTGTTTTTATCAACACTATGTAGAGAATATACTGATTATCAACACTATGTAGAGAATATACTGATTATCAACACTATGTAGAGAATATACTGATTATCAACACAAACAAACAAGTAGAATGTATATATATATATTAAAATAAACCAACTGCATAAAAACATTTCATTTTCCATGCAACAGAGTATAAAGTCTTGGCCCATTTAGACCCTCTAATAAGAAATAGTCCAAAGGTCAGTTCATTGTAAAGACATTTGGACAGGCTAGTACATACATGCTAGGTTGTACACTCGTCCAACAAGTGTGACCATCATTGAACTGTGCAGGAAAGATCAGCTCTGGTGAAACACTACAAGCAGAATTAGAACTCCTCAAGCAAACATTACTTTCTAATGCATATCCGGCTGGATACTGTGGATACCAGACTGTTCACATGGCTATGGCCATTGAGTTTACCGTATGAATCGATTCCTCCCCACCAAATATATGGTTGACACATTCCGTTTCTGGGGACAGCTTTTATCGAGTTTGCTCTCTAGACAGTTGCAGTCCCCTGCTGACGAGATTCTGTCTTCCCGAGTGGACCGCCGCGATCAAAACATTGCGAAGGCAGCGTGGCTGAGGCTGCCAAAACTATCAGTCATTATCCCGTCCCGACACAGCACAACCACAATACACTCTGTTCCCACGAAACACATAATATCCTGCGTTGGAAATGCGCATAAAATAGCAGTCCATGATTATAGAAAAGAATAATCCGAGAGAATTGACAGTCAGCGAAAATAAACACAGCTTCTGTCCGCCATTTTGAAAACGAGACTGTTCACATGATAATGGGTTAAGATGACTAAGCTACCATTTCTCATTTTGGCATCATTGCATGTGTTGTGGGTGTGCATGAGAATGTCTGCAAGCACATGGTTTGAAACTGCTTGCAAATCTGTTTTTTGAATTGCCTGGTGTGTCAGTAAACTGTATTGCAACTGTCTTTTGGAAGAGAGTGCAGAATAGATTTACCTAGGCATTCTTTTGACAACTGTAGACCTGGGACAGTGGAGCTCCTTGTGGCAGTATTTAAGTCCAGGTAATCGTAATGACGCTGGCGTTGGATAGGACACACATTGAGAAAACCGGAGAACAATATAACTAAAATATCTTTGCACTGGAAGCCACAGGGGCATAGGAATAAAGGAAGGTCAAAAAACACATGGAGAAGGGAGCTGGAGAATAAAGTTAGAAAGATGGGGAGGACATGGGAAGAGCTGCATGCGATAGTAAAAGATAGAACGACTTGGCGTGAGTTAGCTGAGGGCCTATGCTCCACTGGGGGCTAGAAAGACAGAAGAAGAAGAACCGTAATGACGATTCTGGCAGACTAATGAAGTGCCATAAGTCCTAAGTAACGAGAGCCAGTTTGATAGTAACACTGGCAAGCATAGAATGTGCCTGCAAAACTGAACATCAATACAAATCTCAGCAAACCTTAGCATCTTGAGCAGATGATCTCTATCCATTCCAGCTCCATTATCCAAGAAAATGAGGCACGGAAGACCACGGATATCAATATGATCTATCAACAGTTCAGAAGCACTAACATCTGGGTCATAAGCATTGTCTGCAGATCAAACAAATCATTAGAATTATGAACAATTATTCAAATCATGGGAACAAACCCCCCCCCCCCCCCTATTCCAAATAATAAAAAAAACATTAAGTAACCTTCTAAGAAAAACCTATGTAATTAAAAAAAATATATTTATATTTAAGCGATTGAATAAAAATCGGCACCATTATTATTAGGTTAGCCAGTGTCCAGATGTCTGAACCTCAATACCCGTCTGACCTGTCCGATATTGTTATATTTGGATCTCGTCTACAGCCCTAGTTTATTGTCTTCCAGTAGAAGTCCTTCATGTCTCATACTGTGATTAGAAGTCCTTCATGTCTTATACTGTGATTAGAAGTCCTTCATGCCTCTTACAGTGATTAGAAGTCCTTCATGTCTCATACAGTGATTAGAAGTCCTTCATGTCTCATACAGTGATTAGAAGTCCTTCATGTCTCATACAGTGATTAGAAGTCCTTCATGTCTCATACAGTGATTAGAAATCCTTCAGGTCTCTTACAGTGATTAGAAGTCCTTCATGTCTCATACTGTGATTACAAGTCCTTCATGTCTCATACTGTGATTAGAAGTCTTTCATGTCTCATACAGTGATTAGAAGTCCTTCATGTCTCATACTGTGATTAGAAGTCCTTCATGTCTCATACTGTGATTAGAAGTCCTTCATGTCTCATACTGTGATTACAAGTCCTTCATGTCTCATACTGTGATTAGAAGTCCTTCATGTCTCATACAGTGATTAGAAGTCCTTCATGTCTCATACTGTGATTAGAAGTCCTTCATGTCTCATACAGTGATTAGAAGCCCTTCATGTCTCATACTGTGATTAGAAGTCCTTCATGTCTCATACAGTGAGTAGAGGTCCTTCATGTCTCATACTGTGATTACAAGTCCTTCATGTCTCATACTGTGATTACAAGTCCTTCATGTCTCATACTGTGATTAGAAGTCCTTCATGTCTCATACTGTGATTAGAAGTCCTTCATGTCTCATACTGTGAATACAAGTCCTTCATGTCTCATACTGTGATTAGAAGTCCTTCAGGTCTCATACAGTGATTAGAAGTCCTTCATGTCTCATACAGTGATTATAAGTCCTTCAGGTCTCATACAGTGATTAGAAGTCCTTCATGTCTCATACAGTGATTAGAAGTCCTTCATGTCTCATACTGTGATTGCAAGTCCTTCAGGTCTCATACTGTGATTAGAAGTCCTTCATGTCTCATACTGTGATTACAAGTCCTTCATGTCTCATACAGTGATTAGAAGTCCTTCATGTCTCATACTGTGATTGCAAGGCCTTCAGGTCTCATACTGTGATTAGAAGTCTTTCATGTCTCATACTGTGATTACAAGTCCTTCATGTCTCATACAATGATAAGAAGTCTTTCATGTCTCATACTGTGATTAGAAGTCCTTCATGTCTCATACTGTGATCAAAGCAAAACTGCTTGCAAACATTTCACTGTAATGACAGTAAACAAATTTGAAGGTCTTTACATTCTGTTTCAATCAATCAGGTGCCGTCTCCACAATGAAGGTTGGCTGCAATGGATCTCCAACAAGCCCTGTCTCTTGCCCTTGATGTACACTCACTCATACTGCTGTTCGTCTATCTCTTGGTGTAATCCTCCCACTTGTAACGCTGTCTGTCTTTTGCTCGCTAACCTTGAACCTTTCCCTCTAGGATGATCTTTACAATACTGTTATGTCTTTTAATGTGGCCAAAATATTTCACTTGTCTCCTTTTTATTTCACCTAGCAACTCTCTTTTCATTCCCAATTTCCTCAGTACCTCTGTATTTGATAGCTTTTGTTTCCATGAAATACGACCTAATATTCTGTATATCCACATCTCTAAAGAATTGATATGATATTCTAGTTGTTTGTTCATTGTCCATGTCTCTGTGCCATACAGTAAGGTTGAGAATACATAACATTTGGCAATTCTCATTTTTAATGTATTGCTTATTTCTCTTGATGTCAGTAACTTTTGCATGTTGTTGAAAATGTTTTTGGCCATTCCCAATTTCACCCCGTTCACTGTGATATTGTTAGCTGATTATTTTCTTTGCTAAATATCATGGTTTTTGTCTTTTTCAAATTTATATCTAATCCAAATTCTGCACTCCTTCTGTTTACTTGCTCCGCTAGGTCTTGCAACTCCTGCTCACTCTCTGCTAGCAACACTGTGTGGTCAGCATATTTCAGATTGTTTATTATTCTACCATTGATGTGCACTCCTGGTAATTCTACAATTTCTTTAAAAATGGTTTCTGTACATAAGTTGAAAAGGCTAGGCGACAGCACACATCCTTGTCTTACTCCTCTCTTGATCTCTATCTGGGGTGAGCAGATGTTGTCATATCTTACTGTTGCTTCTTGCTCCCAGTATAAGTTTCTAATAAGTCTGATATCCTTTCCATCTAGTCTTATGTTTTGAAGAGCTGCAATTAGTTGTTCATGTTGCACTCTGTCGAAAGCTTTTTTGTAATCTATAAAACATGCACAAATATTTTTCTGAACTTCTATATATTTTTTAGTCAGTATCTTTAGACAAATTATGGCCTCTCGAGTACCACTGTTTTTACGGAATCCAAACTGCTCTTCAGAAACTTCTCTATTTTATCTTGAATTCTTGCTTGTATTATCTTCAAGACTAACTTAGTTACGTGACTCATTAGGTTAATAGTTCTGTAATCTTCACAATCAACAGCTTTTGATTTCTTGGGTAGTGTGATAAAAACAGATGTTTTCATGTCCCTGGGAATGTACCCATAGTTATAAATGTCATTGCATATTTCTGTGACAGTATCAATTCCAAAAGTAGATAATGATTTTAACATTTCTGCAGTTATGTTGTCTGGACCTGCAGCTTTTCCCTGCTTCATCTGTTTAATGGCTTTCTCTACTTCAGACTTTAATATGTTTGGTCCCTCTTGAATATTATGGATTGGCGGTTTGTCACCTCTGTTGTCCCAAAACAGGTCTTCTGTGTATTCAGTCCATCTTTTTATGATATCTTTCTTATCAACAATAATTTTTCCATCCTTCCCCCTAATACAACCATTTCCTGTTAAATGTTTTTCATTGTTTGTAAGTTTTCTTACATTTGCATGTATTTCCTTGGTTCTGTGTTTTATTTCAAGATCCTCTATTTCTTTGCATTTTAACTGAATCCATGTTTCCTTAGCAGTTCTACACATATTTTGTATTTCTTTGTCTATTAATGAATATTCTGGAGTGTTTTTTGCTTTCTTCCTTTGTGTCATTTTGTGAATAATTTCCTCAGTCATCCATACTTGATTTTTCTTGTTTTCTTTCACTGGTAAGATGGCATTAACTGTTTCTATACTAGTTTTGAAACATTCCCATTTTGTATTAATTTTGTCCTCTGGATTCTCCCGTTAATATTGTTCCATGCTTTCAACTATTAATCTATTTATTTTTAACCTCCACTAGGTACTGCTGGCTTATTTAGTTTCTGTTTAGTCCAAGATAAATCATGATTAGACACATGCACTGTGCAAAAGTTTTAAAGTGCTATACAGAACACACACTGCTGCATATTGAAACTCTTACAAGAAGCAAACAAGCTAAGAAAAGGACAAAGAATATCATGGGCTGAAAAAAAAAAAGTAGTCGACATAAACAAAAACTGTAAACTTTAGAGAAATTAAAACTAGTCTGGAGTTCTTGAACATGTTATGAAAAGAAATCAACTGAGAAAAATTGATGATAACTGGTAAACTTGATGGAAAAGGCGATAAATACCTGGATGGCTATGTGAGACAAGAAAACTAATCCAATCTGTGATAGTGTGACAGTGTGAAACATGACTTGCTAGACAAATCAGCACAGTACATGATGACAACAGTCATAAGGATATTGAAGAGATGTATTTATTGAAGTCAACAGCTCCATACTGATGTGAGTGGATGGCAAAAACATGTCTGCTCCTGGAAAGTTGTGGCGACTACTGTGACCCTAGACAGATTCAGTTTTACAATGAGCATTCTCTTTGCCCTGATTTGTCCAGACGATTTTCCATCAATTTATGTAACTGATCAGTGTTTTAACACTTTCAAGATATATGACAGGGGTAATCAATAATCATGATCAGAACGAAACATTATACTGAATATATCCCCTCGGGCCTAAACACAAAAAACACACGTGTCAGGTGACTCATGCCGTGTCCCTATGATTTTTTCCCATTGTGGCTTATGAGCAAATCTGACATCTTCTTGGCTTGTAAAAACCTTTAGCACAAAGGAAAACCTCTCTAAATGCTGTTAGTTAATTTTGTCATATCCTAACCTCCTAAACGTTTGACCAGGTGACAACTCGTATGGTCTCCCAACAGCTGTGTCCATGATAATCACTGAATAAGTAATAAATGGTTATAATGTTAACAAACCTACTTGCTTGACTCTTGTTTTATTACTACTGAATACAAATATAGATATCAATTGTGTTTCTTCATCATCATCATAAATCACTTCTGCCGTTAAACGTCGTGGGGTGGAATAATGTGCAATCCAGTGCATGTTGGCTGCCACTGGCTATTGTCATGCCGTGAAGGCGCAGAGTGTCTTTAATGTTGTTGATCCATGTTTTCCGCGGCCGTCCTCTTGCTCTTGTAGCTGATCTTCTAAGATGTAGTGCTTGTGATGGTATTTGATCTTGCAGCATTCTAACAAGATGGCCAAACCACATAATCTGCTGTTTCTCGATGAATTTATTATAAGGTGTTGTTCCCACAATTTGCCTGATAGTTTCATTATTCACTCGATCTCGTATGGTTAGGTTGGCTGCTTTTCTCAGGCACCTCATCTCGCAGGTGGTGATTTTGCATATACGGGCTTTAGATAGTGTCCATGTTTGGCACTGGTAGCTTAATGTTGGAATGAATATGCTATTAATAATCTGTCTCTTTGCACTCATAGTTATGCTTGGATGTCTTAATAATGGTGACAATTGGTATATAAG